AATGACAGACTTCTTAATACTTTATTGGCTTGCCTCATAGAGGAACCATTGGCCAGGTTATGAGATCTGACCAACCATGGCTATGGTAAACATTCCAATGTTGCAACAGGTTGTATCGAGTCTTAGAGGATGTCATATGGAAGAGAAAAGGGAGATATAAGTTGCAATAACCTGTATTTTGGCTTGGCAGATGACAAACTGGTAGTCTGGTTGGATATACTGATGGCTGGCTCAGCAACCTTCGGAATTGCAGCAGTTGTATCAACAACTATTGGGGCCTCTGGTGATTTGTTTGGCAACACTCCATTTTCCTCTTAAATTGAAAAGGAACCAAAATCAGAAAACAAATTAAGTTACATAAAGATTACCTAGAATGTAATAGAAGCTATTTTGCATGTAAGCCACAGCTTTAAAATTTCAGAGATAAGCACATAAAGATATACATACAATTTTTTTTTTTTTTGGAAAAAAAAAAGGCAACATTTGACAGACATCAAAAGAAGCTCCATTCGACTGCATGAAAGGTGCAACTCACACCCAACTATCAAAATCCCAGCCAAACAAAATCAGTGGTTCTCTTCAGAGCTTGGCAGTTGGCAGCCTTTTCAGCTTCCGATGGACTCATATGAGGTCATTGAGCTGATACAACGTATGCAGATGTACATACATGCACAAATAGTGGGAGTTTTAATTCTTTTCTTTCAAGCATGCTCCTAGACAACCCTTTTTTGTATTCTATAATGACTCAGCTTATTAACCCTGGCATTCAACTTCATATCATGGGGAAGTCTCTTTTGAAAAAGATATATACCATCATGATATTCCATAAATTTCAAATAAAGGTATGTGGTCAAGGAGGAGAAACCAGTTTCCCCACCGCAAAATTGATCTATGAGCAAGAAGCGTCCATAATCTTAAAAACAAGTCATGGACAATGACATTACTATTATCCTACTACAATCATGTCAAACAGCAAAGCTGTCAAATTAAGCTACATAGTTGTGAAGGAGAAACCGGTATCCCCACAATGTGAATTGATCTACGAGCACAAGGCACCAATAATTTAAAAACAAGTCATGTACAATGACATTACCATTATGCTATTAAAATCTATGCCAAACGGAAGAGTTGTACCTGCAATGCGCTGGTCACATTCTTTAATCAAATTATTGAATCTTGAGTCACCAGGTGCTAAAGAAGCACCCACTTCCAAAGCTGTCTTGGCAGTCTGGTATTCCTCAAGCTTGATGCAGGCGAGACTGTAAGGAAAATAAATGCTACTAGTCATTCATGAGGATAATCATAATGAAGTGCAGTTGGACAGTTGTATACACTTGAAATTCATTCAGTGCCATAAATTAACATGTGTAGCCAACTGATTTTCTAATGGCCCGATAAGGGAAGCCACAAGATAATCTCCGTGTGGAAGCTGGACAAAGTTTTCAGCATGGATAACCGCATAAAAAGGGAGGCAAGTCTCAAGTGAAAAGAAAGAAATTTTAAAAAATACAGAGAGAACAAAACAAGTCCTGGGCGCAAACAGCAACAATGCCAAGAATATCAGTAAAGTAAGAGGATGCACCAAAATACTCACCCTTTCCGGAAATATGCTTTGGGCATAGAAGGATCCAATTCAATGGCCTTGTTCGCATCGGCAACAGCTTCTGCTCATGGGAATCAATATTCATGTATTAGGGCACACAAAATACAACTCAACCAATATATCTGAACCAGCACTCCTCCATAACATCCATACAAGGCAAAATACAAAAACCTTTCATGTTAGTGAGTTGGTTCGTCCTTTATCAACTCAAGGAGCATTAATAATTCCAAACAAGAAAAAAAAAATTAAATTTTCTAGAGTAGACGAATAAAAGTAAATAATAAAATCTGTCTACCGTGGTGTGAACAGTTTAATGAAGTGATATTCGATCAACAAGAAAAGTCGCAAAAAAGTCAAGTGAGAAGGCAAAACTATATGTCAGACATTTAACTAAATCTTAGACATTAAAACAAGAAAAAAAGCGTGCAAAAAAGATGGTTGAACTTTTGAAGCAAGCAACCTTCATACATATGCAACATGTAGTTAAGCAACAATAGATTCGTCGAATAGATCCCAAAAATAGGAATACTGTATAGCAAGCTAAATAGGAATACTGTATGTTGAATTTAAATAAGGATTTCGTCGCTCCTAAAAATATACAACCAAAAAAAAAAAAAGGATTTCATCGGAAGAATAAAATACCGGTGAAGTTGTTGAGTTTGATGTTGGCTTGAGCGCGATCAGCAAAGAGCTCAGCGTTCGTAGGGCTAACGGAGATGGCTTGAGAATAGAGGTCAACGGCCAGCTCGAAGTGGTCGTCGATGAAGGCTTCTTTAGCCCTGGTCTCCAGATCCGACGATGCCATGGTTCGCTTCTCAGAAGAGAGCAGGACAGGACAGGACAGGAACAGTCTCGCAAATAGATAAAAATAGAAGGCTCTAGAAAGGGGAAAGCGCACAGGGCTTTATCACTCTACTGGAACACCGCCGATGCTTGACTTCAATCACTAATAAAAATACATATGCTACCGCTACCAAGATACCGCCGATGCTTTATTTCAATGACTAATAGACTAGTATTCGGTTTGTTTAACGGGTATATATATATATGGGAAGCTCGTTAATTAACATAATATTTTAGATGTGATATTTTTAAAAATATTACATAATTTAAAAAATTAAATAAATATAAGGAAGCATAAGTAACATTAAATAAAAAATATATATATAAATTCAATTGATCATAAAAATTGTTAATATATTTATATATATAAAATAAATTAACTGAATACTAAATGTGATAGGACATTCATTCAAAAAATTCTATAATATAGTATATAAATGTGATAAGACATCCGTTCAAAAAATTCTATAATACAGTATATAAATCCAATTGATCATAATAATTGTTAGTATATATATATATATATGTATATGTATATAGTAAATTAAGTGAATACCGAATGTAACAGAGTATTCCTTCAAAAAAACTCTATAATATTTTACGGGTTTTTTTAAAATTTTTTTATTTACGTTGTTAAAAGTATTTTTACTAGTACTATACCACTGCAAATTGCGAACGTTGTGGGAAAAGACCGGGATACCCTCTTGTGAAATCCAATTATTTGCGAAGGTTGTGGGAAAAGACCGGGGAACCCTCTTGTGAATGTGAATCCCCAATAATTTGCGTGGTAAGAGTGGTATACATGCAGGAGGGATTCGGCAGCACCTCCCACTCCCATAGCTTTTTCCTTTGATTTTTATTCTATCTTCCGATAGACACGTCAATTGTTTATGGAAAAAGGCTGTCCATTAGTTGTTGAACATTATTATTATAAACGGACAAGCCCGATCCGTTTGGAATATTAGGGGATCGACATCAATACAATTGTGTAATTTCACAGACCTAGTTGCATATTTTGATCCAATAAAATTTCATTTCGTTTACTAACCCGCCTATTCAACTAAGTTAACCCGGCATGGAATATGGGCTAACCTGTTCAACTGATAAAGAAAACGATTGTACAACTCATATATATCCAAAGTATAAAGGAGCAGTCAATCTCACAGTTATAAAAGTCCACCAACAAAGTACATGATCAAAAGACAATTAAAATGCTAAATATTTCGAACATTTATTTTATTTTTTTGTCTTCATCCGTTTTAGAAAACTATTAACTCGTTCTACGGTGAGAACGAGTTAGAATTAACTGGTTAAGTAAAAAAGTTGCAATATATATATATAAACATATGATGAGTCTCTTAATTTATTTACTTGTAAATGAATAGATCGTTAAGTTCTGAGATTTGCATACGGGTTACCCTAACTAACCCTGTACATATGTAGGAATTGCGGTTAAAAAAAAATAAACCATAGTCGTAACATTTCTTTTTTTTTTTTTTTTAAGGATAGGTTCAAGTAATTTAATCATTTTGGGAGAGGATTGATGTGAATGATAAGGTGCGAAGGATTATAAGTAGGAGGTTTTGAAACCTTCCACTTATCAAAAGGAGAAAAATCTGATCATTTTCAAATTTGAGGACAATTACCATATATATATATATATATATATATATTAATTTTGTAGGTAGTTAGCATGTTTTTCAATTTGGACCAATTCGATAATCTTGGCTAGCCACTTTTCTAGTTTGTTCTTGAACACCCCAACTTATGGTTTTATAAGAAGCCTAATGCTATCTAATCATTGATACACACTTGATGCATATGCACATTAAAAAAAGATTTATCTTGATCCGTAAATCATCATTAAGTGTAAAAAACATATGAAGTATAGTGAAGAAGAAAGTGTACGAGTAATTAGTTGTGATGAAAACTAATTAATAACCTACATAAAATCGTGAGGTACTAGTCTATGAATGAAATAATCGTTTTCACATTAATACATTCAAATACGTTAGTTATTTAAAAGCTGCTTTATTCTTTACAAATGGGTCGTCACATTCACATAATCTTTGCCCAAAAAAAAAAAGGGTAATTTGCAAAACCACTTCATGGTACATGAAAACTTTAGGTTGTGTTTGGATTGTATTTTTCATGGAAAAAATACTGTAGCGATTTGATGTATGTGAGAAAAAAAAGATAATAGGGAAATGTGATTACGGAAAATAACATAAATTTTCGACAGAAAACAACAATCCAAACAAGGCCTTAGTAAATAAAGAAAATTTAAGGCCCTTTGGATTGCAAGTTCTCAGAATTTTTATAGGAAAGATATGTGGTAATCATCACGTGGTGTATATAAGATAAAAATTATAATTAAGAAATATATGAAAAAATTTTTGTGCCAAAACTTGCAGTCTAAACAAGGCATTAGTGGCCATCTAACGAGTTTTCCAAGCTCCGCGTTTGCCAATCGAATGTGCAACTCGTTCATCGTGTGATAAGGGAACGGCATCTTTTTAGTTTTTACTATTAATCTTCTGGAAAATAGAAGGCACGTTTACTTGAAGGCTAGAAGCGTCAACCGGTAAGCATCTTCTTTCAGACTTCTTAGCTGCTTCCTCATTTGGCATGTGAATAGTACACGCCTGGCTGTGTGCGTTTGGATTGTAATTTTTTTAAAAGGGTTTTTTGATATATTTTTTAATTATTTTTTTAATTTACATATATTATAATATATTTTTTTTTATAAAATTTTTAAAAATCAGTAATTCAAACGGTCTTAATTAATTTACTTCCTTTTTAAGCCATTCAAATTTGTTTTGAAAAGTTTTACAATATGTCATGGCGAAATGCCTTGAGGCTTTCACACAGGACAGGACCACACAATTTCGAAGAAACCTGCTCAAAGATTGTATCATATTGCAATAAACAATTACTGAAAGAGGGCATTTGTGTCCACAGCCCAATTATCAAAGCGGGTTTTCAAGATAATTTATGGATCAGCAATAACTTGCTCGCTCTGTATTCAAAATGCCATGGAGTTGATCATGCACGCCACTTCTTTGAGGAAATGCCATGCAAGGATGTTGTGTCCTGGTCTGGATTGTTGTCTGCTTATGTCAAAGATGGTTGCTACGAGGAAGCTCTTGAGCTGTATGATTTGATGAAGTCTTCTGGGGAATGCCCAAATGAGTATACACTTTCGATTGTGATCAGGGCCTGCTCAGCTCTTCGGGATCGTAACCAAGGAACTAAAGTCCAGGCATGTGCAATAAAGAGTGGTTTTGATTCAAATCCTGTTTTAACTAGCAGTTTGATTGATTTGTACTCTAAATGTGATAACAAAGAAGCAGCACATAAGATATTCATGAATATGCGGAATGGTGACACTGTTTCTTGGACGACTATGATCTCTTCATTTGTCCAAGAGGGGAGCTGGATTACTGCGCTGAGACTTTTCATATGCATGATCAAACGAGAAATTCAACCAAATGAATACACGTATGCAAAAATTTTGAGCGCATGTGGTGGTCTTACTTGTTTAAATTCTGGGAGATTAATCCACGCCAGGATGTTAGTCTTGGGCATTCGGCTGAATTTAGTTTTGAAGACAGCTCTTACTGACATGTATGCAAGATGTAAGAGAATGGAAGATGCTATGAAGGTCTCAAAGCAAACTCTTGAGCAAGATACAGTTCTATGCACGACACTATTGAGTGGCTTTTGCCATAACTTGGAGATCAAGGAGGCTGTTGATGCAATAGAGCAGATGATGGCCCATGGGATCACTCCAAATAGTTATACATATGCTGTAGTCTTGAATGGCTGCTCATTAGCTCTGACATTGCAACTGGGGATACAATTTCACTCAAGGGTTATTGAGATTGGCTTGGAAAATAATGTTTCTGTTGGAAATGCACTCATTGATATGTATTTGAAATGTTCTGGTGGAATAATCGACGCTTTTAAAGTATTTGAACAAATAAGGTCACCAAACATCATCTCTTGGACTTCCTTGATTTCTGGCTTTGTTGAACATGGTCTTGGATACGAGGCTTTTCAAGCATTTGAAAAGATGCAGTTTGCAGGGATAATGCCAAATTCTTTTACCTTGTCCAGTATCCTTCAGGCTTGTGGAATGATGAAATCTGCAAATCATACAAGAAGATTTCATGGATACATAATCAAAATGAACATTGGCCATGATATAGTTGTGGCGAATGCTCTTGTTGGTGCCTATGCTGGACTCCATATGGTTGATGATGCATGGCGTATAATAGGTGAAATGCATCATAGAGATGTTATCACATATACAAGCATAGCGAGCAAACTTAACCAATTAGGACTTTTTGAAATGGCTTTGGAAGTGATCAGTTACATGCAAGAAGATAACATTGAGATGGATGGGTTTACCCTGTCCACTGTCTTGTCAGCATCAGCCAGCCTAGGTGCAATACCACAGGGGAAGCAACTTCATTGTTATGCTATTAAATCTGGCTTCAGTGGCTGGACCTCAGTCTCAAATGGTTTGATTGCTTTTTATGGCAAATGTGGGTGCATGCATGATGTAAAGAGAGCCTTTGATGAAGCTTGTCAGCCAGACGTAGTCTCATGGAACAGCTTGATTTTCAGCCTAGCAGTTAGCGGTCATGTCTCCTCTGCTCTCTCCACTTTTGAAGACATGAAGTTAGCAGGAGTTAGACCTGATTCCACAACAATATTGGCGGTTCTATCTGCTTGCAGACGTTGTGGTTTGGTTGATATGGCTTTAGAATATTTTCATTCTACTAGAGAAGCAAATGATGCAGTCCCAGAATTAGAGCATTACGTTTGTTTAGTTGACCTACTAGGCAGAGCTGGCAGGATGCAGGAGGCAATGGCTATAATAGAGACAATGCCTTTCAGGCCTGATGCATTGATCTACAAAACAATGTTGAATGCCTGCAAAATACATTCAGATGTACCCCTTGGTGAAGAAATGGCAAGTCGAGGTCTTGAACTTGAACCTTGTAATCCAGCATTTTATTTGCTTCTTGCAGACATGTACGAAAACTCCGGCAAATCTGACCTAAGAGAGAAAACCTGCGGCATGATGAAAGAGAGAGGCATAATACAGAAAGATTATAGTAATAGCTGGATGGAGAAAAGCAACAAGGTCCCACTATTAATTGCTGGAGATGTACCATCTTAACATGATACCTGAACATAGCATACAGAATGTAGAGCTAAAATGGTATTCATACTAAAGCTCATGAGAATCCTAATCTCAGAGTCTCGGATTGGAAATGGCATGTGGTCTTCTTTACAACAGGTTTGTAAGCATCCCAGACAATATGTCTATACTTATCATGATTTGTTGCGAAGAAGGCAACACATGTTGATATTATAGTTTCCTCGACAGGCACCAGCTTCAGTGTTAATGAGGTGAAGGTCCCCGTAAAGCTGACTGGATGGGGTATGAGCAAGATAAGGAAATGAACCAATTGTGACCGAGCTGCTTTCAGAATTCAGATAGAAAGATGTTTTTGCTTCATGCCATGCTGAAAAGATACATTCTAACTGGCAAGTAACTTTTTTTCTTTTTTTTTGTAGATTCAAGTTCATATAACCGTCTCTATTGTCATTTTTCAGAGTTTCTCTGTTTAAAAAACTGTACTAGCTGGAGGAGATTCTTTGACAACTAGTCAACTACAGTGAGGAGGTGAAGGAATGTTAGCTAGCAGAAATTTCGGCTTTCGGACCAATGGCAACAACTCGTTTTTCATTTACTTTGGATTGAGGGATATGGTCGATTTGGGTTTGAGATTCTTATCCAAATCCTTTATATATCTGGTTTCCCAATAGGTATCTGGAATTCTGGACTTGAAATCCAACATAAAATTCAGAGGGATTTTGGGAGTTTAAAATTTCTCGATTTCAAATTCTTCCATATAGATGTCATTACCATTCTCAATCTTAGACCTTTCTCGTTTAAGATGTATTTTCTTGTAGCCTACTGTTCTGTGAGCATGTACAAATCAGGGAAAAAATGGCCGGCGGCCATTGTTGCCTGACAACGACAGAACAGCTAGGTGTAGACTAAGGAAAGGGCTAGAATTTGAGTGCCTCAATATTTGGTGGATGCGTGTGTGATACAGAAGTTGTGTTGGCAATTATTGCTATCGCCATGCAGGAAAGGCGAAAAGCGCCAGAGACTGAAGCAGCGCAGCTGAAACGGTGGAAGGCTTCTTTGCCCCTGAATGTGTTCATTTCCTACCCCAATATTTTTGTAAATTCTAAATTCTCCTGTAAATAATGCATTCAATTTGGAATATTTTCCTACATCCAAATTCACAATTCAAACGGTCCCAAAATGAATAAAGTTTACCGCATAGGCATCCCATCCCTTTGCACTTCAAGAGCACATCGGTCATTGTGACATCTACACGCCATGGAGCGTTGTTGAATCTTGGCCAACAAAGCTACTTATAAAATGTTCTAAAAATCCTTGCTTCAAATTGGTTCATCCAACCTCTGTCCACTGGTTCGGGTCTGGATCCTCCGAGGGCATCGTCAAGAATGATATCATCAGCGCCGACGGATTTTGTAGTTAGTTTGGACCATAACCCCGAGGCCTGGGGATGGAGTTGACCAAGCTGCAAATGTTAACAACAACAAAATAGTGGGTTGAAAGTTGACTGCTAAAACAGGGTTGACCGAAGCTTGATCATTACACATGAACAGGTTTCTAAATTGAACTTCTTAATTTTAGAAATTCTCATGTTGACGATGTCACACCTCTTTGAATTTAGAAATTCCTATATTTGTATTTATCACTCTCAGTTGCTGTTTTTTTTTTTTTTTTTTTTAAATAAACTCATTCAAATTGATAGACATGCTAATTGAGTTGAGCGACGCTACACATCCAAGCACAGTTTCAAGCTCTTTGTTTACATTGTAATGAACAACTACCAAAATTTGCGCCCATTGGAAAGGCCCCAAGTTATTAAGGTACTCAGTAGTCAGCCCCCAAGTTCATTCATGCCAATTCAATTCATTCAAGTTTATCTGTTGGATTGTAGGTCATGTAGGAAAGCCCCAGGCGGTCGGCAAGTTCTATTTACGCTTTAGAATATTCCTGCGAAGAACTTACAAAAGAACGTGAACAAACAGAAAGAAGTAAACTGTTCTTGATCATCAGCTACACAACCATATACTGCAACAGTTTTTGCAAGGGAAGTAATAGCAAACAGAAACACCGGTTTAAAGGATTTAAACAGAAAACTGGGGACAATCAACATTCAATCTAACTTTGATGACCACCAGTTTAACTGAAAAGGTAATATATATGGTCCACTTTCTAACTCTGATATTGTTCATGTGAAGGGGCAACGAAGGTCAAACGGATCCCAAACTTGAGCAGGGTCAGCACATAAATATAATACATATATTAACAAGGAACCCCCTCAACTTCATAGTGATTCAAGGGAAGGGTCAATTAAGCTGACAGCAACAGTTTAACTACATGATAGCCAACCAACAGCAAGAACTCAAATGAGAAACAATAAGAAATAATGGCGCCTTGGGACATGGGTGAAATGGGCATACTACCCTAAGTTGTTCAGTTAAACCAGAATGCGGATAGCTGCGGTCAAATTTGGTAAAAGCCACTCAACTTCCGATTATTAACTAGTGGTTCAATCTTTAATCCCACAGATAAACTCCGATCTGAACAGAACTGTTTTTGTGAAATTACAAAAAACAAGAGGGCACCGATCAGTAATAAACTTGATGTGGCTCGGCAAAAAGAAGAACAAGCCAAAAGAAGAAGCTGTGGAGTGCTACTTAGATTGCTGCTCGCCAGATGCAATTGCAGGCTCATCTTTCTTTGAGCGTGAAACAGCATCTTCCAAAGTGTTGGTAGAAACGGCCTCAAGCGTCCTATAAAACTCTTCAGGAAGAGGACCAGGTCGATGCAAGGGTATATGCTTTGGAACTGGAGCATCATTTTCGATAACTTCACATTCATAATCATCTGGGATACCCCATGGTTTCCACTCTGCACTTGAAACAAAGACACCCAAGTGACCAAAACATCAAATTGGCAATATTTAACTGGAGACTTCCTCCAAAATTAGATGGCTCCAGTTTCAAGCCATTTGAACCAGTATAAACTTGGAATTGGCATCAAGATTAGTAAAGATAACGACTCTGGAGTGACAATATCAGAGTAGAAAAAGCATTACATCCTCTCGACATTTAGAACATCTACGTTTGTCAAATGTGGTTTGAAAATTTAAATACATAACCACCAATACAACAAGACAAATATAGACAATAGCCATGAAGCTGATCAACCAAGACCAGCAAAATACTTCTTTTGTTGACTAGATCATGCACTCCCAAGTCACAGATCAATTTGCAATTAGTTCACGTCAATTTTTCACTGTTTAACATTTGAAAAGGAGCAAAATAGAAGAAGAGATGACGAGAGCTTTTACTTCTTGACTCACTCAATAAGACATTACTACTTAATAGTTTGCTCGCTCAATTCTATTAAACTAGGGTGCTTGGTTTCTTCTGACCTCAAACTAGCCATATGAAGGAACCTTGAGGTTCTTCACAGCTGCCGAGAAATCAGATAAGAAAGCAAATTGCAATCCAGATTCTCATAATCAATTAGAAAACAGATTGTTAAAAAAAATTACTAATACCAACTCATCAAACAATTACCACTACCCTACTCCTAAGATAACCATTCACCTATCAAAACCCAAAGTTCTATTTTATGCTCTGACCACTCCCCGGAAAACTCCCAAGTCCTTTCAAAGAAGTAAAAAAAAAATAATAATAATAATAATAATAATAATCAGTGGTCAGTGCACAAGAATAGTTAACAACTCTCTCTCTAGCTCCACTGCCCTCATCATCCCCAAAACTAAAATGTCTATAGATTCACAACAGAATAGGATGAAAGCTTCCAATGTCAGTCCAAGTCTTCGAAAACTTATAGCAAAGAAGATGCAAACTTAAGCTTTTTTTGAAACCGTACAATGTCATCTTCTCAAAAGCTCGTTCTATATCCTCAAAAAAAAAAAAAAAAGGATAGAAGACCAAGCAGTAAGAAAGCATACACTTAACTGTAGAACATCCACTATTTCCCAAAGCAACACCATTTTCCCCCTCCCTCCCCTACAAGCAGTCCACAAACTTTCTCAAGAGCAATTAAACCAACCAGAAAATTTTATTTGATCACTTTAAAAAAAAAAAAAATTTCACGGCAGATGCAGGGAAAATGCCACGCATTTAAAATAATAATAATAATAATAAACAACGGAAGCGACTAGAAAATCATTCTTAATTATTTGAAAAAAAAAATGAAATGTAGAATGCGGATACCGATCATGTGGCCGATGAGCTTGAGTTCATCCTTAGCCTCTTCAATAAGCTCTTCGACCTGGCCGCAACCCAGACGCTTCTCGATCGATTCCCAGTCCTCTTCCTCCCGGCACACCTTGAGCCGGTGGCGGGTGAAGCTTTCCACAGCCTTACGATATCCTTCATCCTCGGGGACGGCCTTGATCTCCTCTAGGGTTTTGCTATACAGACTGATTAAAACCTCCCTAGCATTTGGCACAACATCTAGCCCTACGATCCCCGTCGTCTCCTTCACCTTCGCCATCATCATTAACGGCCGAGCCACCCTCCGCAGAAACATTCTGACTCGCTCTTTCTCTGGACAAGTTGACTCGATGGGCAGATCGTTCTGTGGCTCGCTTGCTCACTCAGTATTGGAATGGAAGTCAGAGCTGAAGTCTGAAGATTACCAAGCTACACTCCGAATGGGTTCCCTTTACTTTTCCAGTAAACGGTGCGAGTTACTCATTGGGCCATTTTGGATTATGGTCCAGCACCCAGGAGGCTGGATACTGTATTCATTCAGAGGCTCACATCCAATGTTCGGCCTGCTTTTGGGGATATCTCGAAGGCACATATGGGGTTTTTAAACAAGTGTCCTAGCACGATGTTCGCCATGTGTATGCTCACTGTTCGAGATAATCAATTTTTTAAGTTTAAAGGAGCGGTGCTAATTTTTCCCTTTTAACTTTCATTAATTGGTCCTATTTGATAATTCAATTCAACGTTTAAATTTAATGGATTCAGATCTTAACATATTCAGATATGTTTGATAACAAAAACTGAACATCTGGATTAATTAAGTAATACTAAATTTTTCAGACAAAATTTATTATAAAAAATAATAAGTAATAAACTATTCACTTGTTAACGCATACTCAAATGTACCAGATTTAATATTTAACAATTTAATAACGTAATAGATTCACAATTCGAATTACATATTTCAGTTTTATCATACTCACCCTTAGTGTCTTTGGCGACCAATCTCACTGGAATGGGCGTGCCGAGCAAGGAATGCTCCGCATTTATCGTCCCGTCCCTCTGTCACGTGTCGCGTGTGGGGCCCACCTGGCGGGGGACACGTGTCGATCATCCCTACTGCAGCGGGGGCATTCGAAATTCGATTGATCGATACGGTGCGTTTCGAAGAGCAAAAATAAAATGGCCAACACGAGGGACATGGCAAGATTCTTCAGGGTCGTGAGGGACAGTGACGTCATCTGGGTAGAGCTGGGAACTGTTTACAATCGTCTTCCCTTTGACTGAGTCCACTGTTTCTCATCAGAAAACGCATAACGCATTACCTCCCAGACACCTCATCTTGGTCGAAACCAAGATTTAAGGGCAATATTCAATGGAAATACCAAGATTTTCTAGATTCCAACTTAATTTGTGCAAACAGGACTAGACAAAACTATACATATTCAATGTGCGAGAGGTCGATAGCCTACGAAGTCTAGTTGCCTTATTTAGTGGGGAAGAATGAAATGCCAAAAAGATGGATTGAATCAATCTATTATCCACCCAATTAAATGAATTTAATTGAATACTCATTTAGATCAATTCAAAATTAATGGATGAATTATCGATGAACAGATTTAAAGAAATTAACATAATTAAATTGTGATTAACGACTCTAATTGTCCCTAAGAACAGATGATGAGAAAATAGAGTGTGGGAATCGGTTTCAGGCGTGCGCGTCTCTAAGTGACGTGTATTGTTTGCGCTGAAAGAGCGAAAGTTGACTTTCTTCCACCTCATAATGAAGACAAAACTACTATCATTCATACAAGACTAAGCCGAGTCCATTAAATCTTAAAAGCACCCGTATCTCCGCTTTTTTTCTTGACTTTCCTCGTGTAGCTAACAACAACATATATCAGTTCCTAATAAAACTGAATACATCAGTATTCAAACATATTTGATTATTTTAACGAATTTAAAATTTTATTTTATTTTTACAAGATCGAGTTTAAACGATTTTTTTTTTATTGAATTTAAAGGTTATCAAACATAAAACGTTATTCAAGTTTGATTTGACTAGTTGATAAATCAAGTTCTAACGAGCTTTTATCGGATCGAATAGTTTGTTCGTCTTTAAGCTCTAATAGCAAGAAATGAATGACATGTTTGTTCATTAACCTTTGCATTGTATTATATGGTAGATTCATTTCCAATCCAATCTGCTAATATATTGGGCTAAAGATGAAGTTGGATTAAAATATTCGGCACAAATTTACAAAATGAATCTCGTGACCTTTTCAGTTTCTTTTTTCCCTTTTTATCATTCGATATCTCCTTTCACTTACAAATTCTGTCGGAAGCAAGCGGGCCTTGCATTATGTAATAGTGGTCAACTATTTGATGCGTAACGCAAATGAAAAATAACCAGTCATTTTATAAGGTCCCGAAACAGTCAAATGAAAGAAAGACCAATTAAATCTATTTTCCAGGTGAAATTGCGGGGAATGTTTGTCCCATGAGCTCCTCAACGATGATGAAAGATAGAATCGTCTCTTTTAGGAATTCCAGGACAGACTCAAAATTTGACTCCATGGGATGGTTGGCTCGTGGCTGGGCACCTTTTATTCTATACAAAACTTCACCCAACAAGCACACGACCGACTGATCTTTATAAGCTGCTAATACTTTGACAAAGCTGAAGTCACAAATCCAAAGGAATCACAGGCTAAAAGAAAACAAGAAAGTTGGGTGGAGGATAAACACAGTTTTATTTCTTTCAGGATCACCTCATTAATTGGGCAGCCGGCCACTGAGCAAGCAACAGCTTGCGGATGTCCAAGTCCAAATGTCTCGAAGTTCCCGGGCCAACTACTAAGCAGCCGTCGCAGCAGGCGATGAGAACAAAATCTTCACTACCACGTCACGTACGACTGCGAGTTATCACCAGGCTACCACTTCAGACTTTAGTTCTTAAAATGCAAGCCCTTGAAGAAACGATCATCATTCACGAGAGCATAGTTAGGAATGAGAATATCATCATCCCCGTTCCCATCGCCATCATTTTCATCATCGTCATCACCATCATCCGCCCACCCCTCTACCTCCTCCTCCCCTGACAATAATAATTCTGCGCCGTAGCTGTTGTTGTTTTCGTTATCTGCAGTCTCTTGATCCACATTTTCGTCTACGCCACTGTCGCCTTCTGTTATGGGCGTGGCGGTTGGAGAGAAACTGGAAGCAGAGGCTGGAGATGATGAAGAACAAGAAGCTATTGATGAGGAGGCAATGTTATGGATATTAGTGGTGGAAGTAGTAGTAGCGGTGGTGGTGGTGGGGGGCCTGGCGGCGGCAGCGGCAGCGGGAGGTACTTTGCTGCGGGTAGTACCAGCGAGGGAGCTCCGGTGCGTAGGACGGGGGTGCGAGTGTTCCCCGCTGTATGAGACCACGTACATGCTAGGATCCGCAGGGCATCGCTCCACTTGTTTCCTCGCTGTACATCCTTTCGAGGTGCTACATCTGTAGTAGTTTCTGATTGATTTTTTATTCCAACAAAACTATCTAGTGTCATTGCTCAATTATCCGGAAAGTTAAAATTAATGTGACGGAACTTTTCCTTGCAACAGTTCAATGTGATGACCAAATAATTGGGATATAGCCGGAATGGGTGATCAAAGAGAAAAAACCTTGGATACGGGGAATCTTTAATTGGCTTTTGACCGTATTTTCTCCAGGCCCATGAATCAGCTGATAATTCTTCTTGTGTCATTTGTTGAATCCTCTTGGCCTGCTGGTTTTTCCTGTGTTAGGAAGATGCTATTAATTTGCATTTCTTGAAACACTTAAAAATATGGTGTCAAGATTCTATGCTAGTTTCGATTCTTCTCTATCGTTGATTGGAATTGTATAATAATATTCAAAAGCTGAGCCACATTAATTCTATTCTATGACGTACAACTTGATTTAGTTGTTATTTCGACTCGATCTGGGTTGGAAGATCCAAAAATAGTGAGTATTCCTGGAGTTTTCTAGTAAATGCTCGCTTACCTTCTTCGCGGCCTTTCGGGCTGAGGACTTGTAGATGGAAAAGAAAGGGAAGCACCAACAAACATCTCACGGCTGAGGTGTGAATATCTTTGCGGTTGCTGCATCAGCTGCTGTGGTTGTCCATATATCCGTTGCTGTTGAGGTGTCTGATCTGCTGTGCATCCAGGGCCTTGGATTGCTTGGATGTGCTGAGCGTGTGAATTAAGGTCGACGAAAGATTGTACTATATCCTCGTACGGTTCCTTGTAAATTTCTTCGAGTCCCCGAAAGGAGTCCCTCGTGTGATTTGCAAAGCCCGGAAAATCAGATGAAGTGTGGCCACTTTGAAATGAAGGGGAAGCTAGGAATGACGCCGACAACGACGTCTCCCCCGATGGCAGGCTGCTGTTCTCAACAGGGGCTATGGCGGCGTCAGTCGTAGTGGATGAGGAGGCTGTTGATGTAGCAGCGGCGTTGAAGCAGCTCCTCACCACCGCATACAAGTCCCAGTCATCAGCCATATGTTGAACGATTCATCAGGGCCGGGATATACACTACTTAGTGCACACACCTCCAGTTCTCCAATCCCACCACTCTGCTTACGCTTGGCTTCAGAGTCCAAAAAAAACTACAAACAGACAAAGGGGCACAGGCACGGGCACGGGCACGGGCACGGGCACAGGCTTTATTTTTTCCCCTTTTTCCTTAATGCTAAAAATCATCAGTGTTGTCCTGTCCACTAGCGTACTGTAGCATTTTGCAAATTGGAGATGGGAGACAAAAGGTGGAAAAATCAGAGGGGGCCCGAGGAGGACGGCGCTGACTTTTGGAAGAGATTTTTAATCTTGTAGTATAATCAATAATGCAAATGCAGGGGGAGCCTATTAGAATGGAGGAGTGGGGTGAAGAGAAGCAAAAGATACAGAGACAGGCTCTGACCTTGATTCTTTTGTTGCCACTGGTATCTCTCTGTCTATTTATACCCGAAGAGGAATATAAAGATTTTCCACATTGTCTCTGTCTGTCGATGGAGAGAAGCAAAGTGGTTCCGGAGTCAGCGCTTTGGCATCTTTGATATGGAATAAGATATGCCTTGAGCTTCTGAGATTGACTTTGCAGCAACGTCAAAGTGGGGGGCTGGGAGTTGATAAGGCGTGTCCTAATGCCATACTCCTGGCCTAGGCAGGTACAACTTCAACCTGCACAGGACTTTGCGCTTTTAATCTTCCAAGCGTGCAAATTTATCGATTGTGTGGGAATAATAATGTTTGAGACGTATAGACCTTATTGTTGTAAGAATATTTCGTTCTGGGTATAAAATTTCAATTGATCTACTTTTCTTTCTTTTTTTTTTTTTTGAGACACGATAGACATATATTTATTCTATACTATGAGAAGGGAGGCCTGAAGAAACCAAGAAAAAACCATCACCACCGTCCGTCTGGAATCATTTAAAGTGACAGATCACATATAGTGATAGATGGTGGGACAAATTTTGAGTCATTGATCTCCCGCCCCGTCAAATCTTACAGGCTTTGGTGGTAGCCATTGAGCAAAGCACAGTGATTAATTGATCTACTTTTCTTGTGCAACAATAGAATTGTGCATCATGCAACTTTTAGCCGAATTGTGTACCAAATTTTTGAGCTTAACTTCTGCAGTCGTATATTTGTTATACTACCATATATATATCATTGTGAAAATAGAGCTCCAGCCTCCAAAAACCTCCAATGATATGTTTGGAGAAACTTTTACACCCTCCCCAGTTCAACCCCAAGTTGGCAAATGCTCCCACTGTGATGGCCACTTTTCGCGAAACAGTGGAGGAAAGATTCCAATTTTCTATGACTTGCGTCATGCCATCATGATCCCTTCCAGAATTTGCTGGCTCTCAAGGAATATGGTCCGCGTCCAAAAGAATTTTGGAGTGGTTAAAACACAAAAAAAAAAAAAAAAAATAGTAAAAGGGCAAGCCGAAGTCTGAAAACACAAGCACATAACCATTCGTTCCGACTAGGAATTGCTTAGCGCAGGCAGGCCTATCGATGCAAATATCCTTGGTTAAGATGGAAAAGCAATGTAATGGCCTGTGCATACGTACAATTATTTGTTAATTGTACAGACTAAAGTTTAAATTAATGAGAAAAGTTAGAATTTATGGGCATCCTACGGCAAACAAGAAAAACATATGACATAATCCAAAAGCAAAACAAAAGAAAATGGGGCATTTGACAGACCTCTTTTGATTTTCGTTACGTCGGTTTGAAGATGCTGAAAGATCGATTATGTTGGTTTTTCTTTCATAGCCCTTGTTCCCCTCGATGTAGTCAAGACCCATAGAGCTGCCAGAGGCTTACTCTATTCTAAAGATGCTGTTTTGATCCTCTACTTTGTTAGAGGGTTCGCATCTCAGATGGTCCTGGTTCAACCAAAATCAAATGCTAAAGCCAAAGATATGGTAATCTTGTAACCGGTGGTGGTAGATCCTAAGAGGGGTCAATTTCTAGCAGAAGGGAAACAAATAGCAGCTACTACAGAAAGAACGAAAGGGCATGGCTCGCAGATTCGGCTTTGCTGGTACCTGGCATAGGAATGTTGACGTAATAAAGCAAGCCAGTAACACTAGCAATCTAGTCTATCTCAACACAAGAAAAAGGGAAAGTGGAAACCATTTCAAGGGAATTCAAGCATGCATGGGGATCTCTATCTCTCTCTTTTTTTACACAATAACAATAACATTTCTATAATCTAATCTACCCTAATTTAGGGGGAGGGGAGCTTAAAGAAGCTATATATAAGAGGCTAACAGACATAATAAGAACATAGTAAATCAAAGGAGTGTTCTGACATATTCTTTAGACTTTTTTCACTGCAAATAGGGTTCGAATCCCTGGCTTACAGTTCAAAGAGGGACTCCAGCTCTTTTTTGGTGATGCATTGGGATATAAGATACTGAGATTTGGTTAACCGATGGATGGTGTTTATTACCACAAAAAAATTCTTTAGAATTAAGGGGGGGGGGGGGGGGGGTGAGAGTTAAAGAGGGATACTTGGGGTTGAATAGGATAACTTAATCCAAGACGTACATGCGGATCAACAAAAGAACTGCAATTTTAATCAAACCGAGGAAGGAAGTATCCAACTACTGGACCGCCGTACCAGCCATATATAATCAGTCAAGAAGTGTTCAATGGAAATTCTCTTCAGTTCAAAACAAATACTCACTTAAAAAGAGGATGCTTAATTTGGATTGCTGGCCTTCTTCCACTAAATACTCACTTAAAAAGATGGTATGATCGATCGTTTCAGGATCAATGATGATTACAGTTTGGCAAACGTTGAACAGAAACTTGGGTGTAATGTAATCATAGAGATATCATGTGTAATAGGGACACGATGAATAACTACAGGTATCGTCGTTGATGAATGGGATACTTTAATGAACAGCAAGTCGAAGAAAATTAAGTCGAACTAACTGGCATTCTTTGGTGCCTGTGTTCAGCGTCTACATCAGCATGTTGCTTTACGGGATCTTTTTCCAGGTTCAAAGAAAGGGGAGGGAAGGAAAAAGCAAAAGTGCTTGCAAAAGTGCTTGAGAGTGAATCAGCTATTTCCGATTAATGCATCTCCCAGAAAAGTTAGGCCATCGACTTTAGAGGCTTGGTTGTAGTTGCCGTGCCCTTCGTGGAGCCGGAGGGTGTTTTTAACTTGGTGTCAGTCACCATTGGTGGTGGGTTTGGCCGAATAAAAGAAAAGACGGCCACTTCCTCTTTGGTGATTCCTCACTTTTTTTCTGTTCCATATCTATTCGAGGGGGAATTGGTCAACCAGCTTGACAGCACAGCACTTGGTGATACACTGTGTGGTGGTGGGTGGCACAGAATGGTTTGGAGAATCGCGACGCACCACGGAAATCTACAATGGTGAATAGGACAAAATTTTGAGGTACAAGTACAACAACCACCACAGCTTGCAGCTTAGCTATAGCAGATGCAGAAGCCAGAAGAATCGACTATTCTTTTTTCTGTCTTGTTCATGATTGTTTAAAACGAGTTGATTTGATGTTAACATTGGCGCTTTTTTTCTTTTCTTTTCTCCTCCCACTTAACGGAATTAGATCAAGATTTCGAACTATTTTTTTTTTTTTTGTTACTCGCGCTCCTTCTTTTCATCCCTTTTCTTTTCATCCTTAATTATCATATTAGAATTCTAAACTTGATAATAAATAGTAAAGAGAATTTTAAATAGTCAATAATTCTAAACCTGATAGATAGATGGATAGTAAGAAGTCCGATCACTGACTTTTCTGGCGTTGGTTCGTACGCAATTGTTTCTACGGTCGCTGTTACCGGATAGGGAAATATTCGTGCACACACACAAGTGAATGGCTCAAACCAAATCCTTATCTTCTATTCTACCGAATTTCGTTGTCTGACTCCTCAGCCAAGCCAAGTCCATCGAAAGTTTGATGAGGACGACAGCCTTGACTTGAACTTTGAAGTCCATCATCCATTTGCAACGGAGTAACACCTCTCAAATTGCTGAAAAGATTTCCTTTTTCATTGAACTCAATCTATTGTACATAACTTATGTCGATGCAAATTCCCCATTCTCATCTGTTCGAACGAACGAGGTAAACATGACTTCAAAAGGACACTACTAGTAACAGATCCAGAGTATTATTATCACATGCCCAAGAAATGCCCACAAGAAACTCTCATCACTGCTGCCAAAACTTTCAGATCATCAGCTACAACAAAAAGTCACAAGGCTCAGAAATACTGTGCTTTCTACCCGTATGAAACTGCTATTCTTGGCGCTTATTGTAAGACTAATAACCCAATGCTGCCAGTTCTAACCATCACAAACACAGCACATCATCCACTAGTACCATACAAACATGAATTGCCCCACTAATTTACATCTTCCCGGTGCCTGGAACAACTACACAAGCTAAGTGCAACAAAGATACAAAACTGGTAATGTGTCTAGTTGGCTTCTCTCCTAATCAATCTAGCTGAACCTGCTTTTACATAATCACCAATATTTGCCACAAAAAGAGGATCTCTCTCTTCGATTTTAAGTTCGTTACTAACAGTTCCTGCCTGATTTTGACGGATCCATCCTTTCTAATTCTTTTGTTAGATCCTCCATTGTCTTTTTTAATGTGGCCTTGTTCATCTGCCCTGCCTCTCCTGCTGAGATACCAACCATAGTAATCTTCGGAAGAAGAGGAGACGACTGTAGTTGTTGTCTCCTAGACTCAGTAGCAATCTTCTCTCTGCAGGACCAAAAAAAATTAATTAGTTTAACAGCATTAATTATGAAATGGATTGGACATTTTTCCAAGAGCATCAACAGGACAGCACTTTTTATCTTCTAATGTTGGGAGCTTCTGCCGTTCCTTCAACCATGGAAGAGCCAACCAATCATGGAATGGAAGTTGAGAGTCCAGCTTTTTTTCCTGCTCAGCAGAGATGTTATCTTTCATATGATCCTCTGACTTGTCAAGGCACTGAAGCGACATGCTACTGTTTCCTAAATTACAGTCTTCAATGAGGTTGGAATATTTGCTTGCTCTCAAGAAAGAAGCGGTACTCCTGCAATCAAATAGATTGTGTAAAAGATAGCCGAAATTCCAAGGAATTTTGATCTCACAAGGCAATAAAGGAAGGAAAAGAGTTATGATTGCAAACGATCATCCAAGTTACAAGAACAGGATAAGAACGTGTCACTGTCACAATGAGCTCTTCATTACACCAACATTAAGATATGCACAATTTTGTAGACTGGAAAAACATCAGTGAGAAATTTTTTCCTCCAAATTTTCCAATAAAGTTGAAACCATAAACTAAACTCATCCAAGTCCATGGTCAATTTTTTCAGCAAACAGCACAATGTGATCAACTCAAAAAAGATAGTGAACAGAGATTCTCTCAATATTGTTTTAAGGGACGAAACAAGCTTATGTCAGAAATTAAATCTTTCAGTATCACAGTACCTTTTCTCAAATGAGTCAACTATATAAGGAAATTTTGGTTGGATTCCAGTTGCTTTCCGCAGCCATCTATTTCCAAGAAATACCTTGTCGACAGCATGAAGAAGCTGAATTTCAGCAGCCTTGGATATGACACTGAAAGGAATCCCAGGATTGCCCATTTCGTCAATCACTTCCTGAACCTGTCAAGAAGCAATACATGGGCTTCTGGGTGTAAGCAAATGTACTCTTCACACAGTCAAGTTTTATGTTTTTTTCAAGTGCTTCATCAATCAAGCACTTAGTTAAGTGATATATCGTGTGAATGCCCATTGCTGCAAACATAGCATAAAAAAAAAAAAAATTCTTCCCATCTGTGGCTCTCTCTACCTAGCAAGTTTGCGCTCCAGCCAAACAGTTAAAAGCTTCCTTTTTAATCATGCCAAGCTCCCTTGAACATAAAACAAATGGGGAAAATAGCCTCCTCAAATGGTTTGCATCTCAGGTACCATCAATTTTATTGTAATAACTGAGTAAAATCAGTTTACAAATTTGTACCTCGGGAGGTTCCCACATGCTATCTCCCATCTCTTCAACTACTTCTGCCGCCAAGTTGTCATCAACAATCTCCCGTCTTCGCTGCATGTTCCGAGTTTGGATCAATGAATGGAAATGCTGATCGACAGATTCTTCAAGAATGTTGTCCAGTGTACTTTTGTCAAAGAAGTATGGTGTGTACCTAGTGCAAAGGCAAAATTAAGTGAACCTGTCAGGTACAAAACATAGTTACGCCAACATATAGCAATGAAATCCATGATGAGCCAGATAGCTAGCATATCTAGATGATAAATGGAGAACTCATAACAAGACCACACACCACTGCTAGGAGACTGACAAACATGACATACCAAAAGAGGAATTCCACATCTGAAACAGATATTGAAGGGGAGAAAAAACCATCTCATAACAGAAATTTAAATTCAAAAATCATATTTAGTAGGAGGTTAGGGTACAAAGCATGTTTTTATCAGAACAATGAAGATGCAATCCAGCTAACAATAATTGCCCGAACCAAGTCACACATGCAAGAGGTCAAACTAACCATTTTATACCATCAGTAGTGGCTATAGCAATATCTAAGTTTTGAGCACTGAAAACAGGCACTCCTTCAACCTTTTTCTTTCCCCCATTTTGTGGCATCATCTTAAGGAGTTTATTTGCTTCCTTGACCTGCATGACCGCAAGATGATGTAGCAGAGGATAAAATGTCTATTATCATTCAGGTATTTCTGTATCATATTGATTTTTATCGCAGCAGTATATTTTTCTGCAGAAGAGCAGAAAGTGTCATGTAACCTGTTTCTCATTTGGGACAAATTGGAATAAGTGTGGCCTTTCCTGCATAGCACATGGAAAGAACTTTTAGTTATTCTTTGAAAAAACACTTGTCATGAAAAAGGTAAATTACTCCATACGATTTTGTCTAGGGTAAAATACACGGAACCCCCCTATCGTTTCGCCAAAAGACACATTACCCCCCTATCGTTTAGAAACATACACATAAACACCCTAAACTTCATAACTAAAGTGGAAATTGACTTCTTAACCAGCTGAGTTACCAGCTGCAGGTCGAATACCCAAAATACCCTCATTTATAATAGAAACGGAGAGAGAATCAAGAACTGACTCTCTGTCGTTCATCCTGTGTAAGAAAAAAAAACCCTAAAACAAGGGATTTGTATACTAAATTGTTGCTGAAATATCATGAATCTGAGTTGAAAACGGCGTGGCTGCCTTTCGGACATGAATTGGTTGATCCTAAAGGGTTCCTGAGAAGCTGGAACGACAGTGGTCTTGTAGCTTGTTCAGGTGGCTGGCCGGGATTAAATGTGCTTGGCGACTAGTAATTGTAATCCAGCTTCCCTGGAAAGGTCTAGGTGGTCGAGTAACTGAAAAAATTGGGCAGCTTCAAGCTCTCAGAAAGCTTAGCCTCCACGATAATGCAATTGGTGGTGCAATTCCTTCCTCGTTGGGGCTTTTGCCTAACCTCAGAGGTGTTCAATTATTCAATAATCGGTTTTCTGGTTCAATCCCTCCTACACTTGGTTTGAGTCCCCTTCTTCAATCACTAGATTTCTGTAACAACTCCCTCTCTGGAACTATTCCAGCTACTCTTGCCAATTCAACCAGGCTCTTTAGACTTAATTTTAGCTACAACTCTTTGTCCGGTTCAATTCCCACCAGCCTTACTCAATTGCAATCGCTGATTTTTCTTGTTCTAGAGCACAACAATCTCTCTGGTTCCATTCCTGACTCTTGGGGTGGAAATGTGAAGGCCTCTATCAACTTCAGTCCCTGACACTTGGTCACAAATCAGTTTCTGGGACAATTCCAGCTTCTCTTGGCAACTTAAGTGAGCTCCAAGAGATTTCACTCAGTCATAACAACATGGCTGGATTGATACCCAATGAAATTGGAAGACTATCTAGGCTTAGAACACTTGATTTCTCATATAATGCACTCAATGGGAGCTTACCTGCCGCTCTTTCCAATTTATCAAACCTTGTAGTTTTGAACTTGGAAAGCAGCCATCTTGACCACCAAATTCCTGCAGCTGTAAACAAACTACAGAAACTATCTGTTCTCAACTTGAGAAATAACAAATTTGCTGGTCCTATTCCAGCAACAGTTGGGAACATTTCTTTCCTGACACAAGTTGATTTATCTCAAAACAAGTTTAGTGGAGAGATTCCAGCATCTATAGGTGATTTACCTAATCTTAGTTCCTTTAATGTGTCTTACAACAATCTGTCCGGTCCTGTTCCAACTAAGCTTGCTCAAAAGTTCAATGCAAGTGCCTTCGTGGGCAATCTTGAGCTATGCGGATACAGTGCATTAACCCAATGTCCAATACCACCCTCTCCGGGCCCATCAACTCCACCAGAATCTCCGGCAAAGAAACATCATAGCAGCTGGGGCTCTCCTCATCTCCGGAGAAAAAGGCACTCCTCCAACTGCAGGTGAAGTTGAAGCAGCTGGAGAAGCAGGAGGAAAGATTGTCCACTTTGATGGACCCAAGGTTTTTACAGCAGATGATCTGTTGTGTGCCACAGCAGAGATCGTGGGTAAGAGCACTTATGGAACAGTATATAAGGCAACATTGGAGGATGGCAGTGTTGCTGCAGTGAAGAGATTGAGAGAGAAGATTACAAAAGGACAAAGGGAATTTGAAACTGAGGTTAATATACTGGGGAAGATCAGGCATCCAAACCTTTTAGCGATGAGGGCTTATTATTTAGGTCCGAAAGGTGAAAGCTTCTCCTTAGATCTTCTCCCTCTTTCCTTTCACTCTTTGATAGCTTCAAATCTCTTCTCCCCTGATATGTCACTTCAATATAGCAACTGAAGGGTAGCTTGGGAATGAAACTCAAGATCTTTTCAAAAGAATCTCACATACCCATCATCAGTAGGTCGTTCAGCCGGTTATAGGTCTATTTCCACTTTAGTTATGAAGTTTAGGGTGTTTATGTGTATGTTTCTAAACGATAGGGGGGTAATGTGTCTTTTCACGAAACCATAGGGGGGTTCCGTGTATTTTACCCTTTTGTCTACTACCACCATAAGAAACTTTAACAATGAATTAGCTACAACATTAATCTGTAATAGACAAGTCTTAGAAAATACTTTGCTGCCAAAATATGAAGATGATACTTGAAACATTACTTGAAACAAAATGAAGAAGAAATTCTCTGCTCTGATCCTTACTTCCTTTAGAATTACCATTGAAAATTAGGTTTCTCTAAGCTCCAAAATCAAGCCTCAGAGGGTTGACAAGGATCCACGACTCAGAATCCTAGTATTCATAGTTCCATGATATTGCAACTTGTAATTGCTCTTTTATGACCAAAATTATCGTAAAAACATCTTACACCCTTTCCAAGTAACTTTCTATCACTTTCTTCTTATAAGAAAACCTTCCAAATTGTAAAAATTATATACAATGTCCCTCTTCCTTCTTGAACATCCTAAACTTTGCCCATCCAGAAGAAACATAATATTTACCACTCTAGATAACCAGCCACTCCATATGCATAATGATCAGCTGCAAGAAATAAAATTCAGATATGTCCCTCAAGATCAGCAAGCCAGTACCTTGAAATGCTCATATGCTATATCAAGGCGACATGCACCAACGACACCACTGGGAATATTCAGCCGTTTAACATAAGAAACTGAAGCAGAATAAATTAGAATATGAGTAATTCTCTCTATAACAAGGTATGTTAAAATTGATGTTTATTAGAATAACAGCAGCCGTGGAAGAAGAAAACAAAGAAAGTGTGTGGACAATGAAATTCATTTTTTATATTAAAAAAAGCATCAAACAACCTCTGAGATAGAAAAGGATATAAGTCCAACCAATCAAAGAGGATATGACCTGTAAAAACAAGCTAAAAGAGCATAAAAAGCCATCTACCAATCAAATACCTGTTCTTAGCCTATATTTAACAGTTTGCTTTCAAATGATACAGTTTATATACAACCTCAAATATGTTTAAAACTGAAAGTTATGCATGTCTTTAATCGTAAAAATTAACCTGCATCTCCAAGGTCCATGAAAAAGCGGAACACAGGGCCATTCCTTTCAGTCTTGGTAACGGCTGCAAACATCTTCTTAAGCCACTGGGGAGTCCTATGGAATACAGAAAGTCATTCAAAACAAGGACAACATAGGCATGTCTCAGCAAGGCAGAAATTACATGGTTTGGATCATAGCTTCTCATCAATTACAGCATGTCCTGACTAGACTGATCCAACCTTCTCCTCAAACCTTCTCTTCAAATGTCACATCAGTAACTAGTTCCAAAAGGGTTCTGAAGATCTCACAAAGGACTGGTCCCTGGCTGTCTTTGTTGCATTTTTGTCTATTTTGGAGGCAAGTGCTTGAAAAACTAGCTTTTTCATATGCAGTTTATGAAACTCTGAAAGTTCATATTCTCATTTTTGAAGGCCATAGTACACAAAAGCTGCAAGCTTTATTTGTACTCTTACTATAGCTATGTACCTTTTTAATCCGCTAGATTCATTCCATGTTAATTTCTTCTTTCTAGATTCCTCGGCTACTAGATGTTAAGATAACATACACTTGATTCAAAATGAACTTGAACCCGAAACAAAACCAAAATCAGCATGTTTCTAAATCCTTGGTAAATAGGCCCCACAAATCAAACAACCAATACAACTGGAGGGAAATTGAATCTGTAATTAAAGATGTTCCAGGCATTAGACCTAAGTCAATAAAAGCTTCGAGAAACCTAAAGCAAGCCTTCTTGATGAATTATCATCTCTGATGCAAAAAAAAAAAGGGACTCTCTCAGCAAACAAAGAATATAACTCATCTGCGGCCCGTGAACAAATGAGAATGCTGTTATATTACAAAGTAGGATTTTTATGTAACAGGTGATACCTTTTGGATAGGAAAGGTACGTCAAAATGGGTAGACACAGCCATCAGACCTGTCCCAGAAAGGTCGCACATGCTGAAGACTTGGCCCACAAATGCCGGCCCAGAGCTGTCTTTAGTAGATGTGAGGCCGGAAATTCTCACGGTGGAAGGAAAACCTCCGTGACCGCCGGACTTAGAAGACATGTTCTTGACGGCCGGTGGAGAAGATAGCGGCGAATTAGGCCGCTGAGTAGTCGACGAGTCGAAGGGGAAATCACTATAAGCGAGCGGGAGATAACAGTGGTAGGCGACTGGAGTTGGGGACGGGTAGAGGGAGGAGGAATTTGGAGGGGGAGGAATAAGGCGGTGAGCTTTGTGGGGTGAGGAAAGTGGAGAGATTGTTGGGGACGGTATCAAGGAATCGAGACAAGTTGTTGAAGATATTCGGGTGATGGTGAGGATGAGGGTCAGTAGCAACCGCAGCTGCAGAGGCCATCAAGCGTCGAGAAGACTCCTCAGGATTTCATATTCCGATTGTTCCATCCTTTTTTCCCCATATTCCCAGGCAAAATATTTGTATAAAATAAAATTAAATAAAAAACCTCAAATAATCCTGCAAATTTGATGCAAAAGCCCAAAAAACCCCTTTCGCATGCAAAGCGCTCAAAAACCAAAATTAAGACCTCAAATTCTTTTTTGTTTCCTTAACATCCAGTAATTATTAATTCAATAAAAAAATAAATACAACAGTTTCAAAAATATATATATAATAGAAAATTAAAAAATATAGTAGAAAATATATAAAAAATCTCATTTTTTATGCATTTTGATTTTTTTAGTTTGTTAAATTTTGTGTATTACTGAATTAATAGTTATTGGATCTTAAGGAAATAAAAAAGAACTAAAATATGATGTTTATAAAGGAGAAATAGCAATATAATAAAAAGTGAGACAGAGAGTGGCACAGAAGATCCGTTGCACCTCAAATAGTCCTGCAAATTTGAATAAAAAACCCAAAAAGCCCTTTTGGCGTGCAAAGTGCTCAAATTAAGACATAGATCTAACATTAACACGCTAGTATTTAACTAAGGTGGTCACGGTTTGGGTTTGAACTATAATCGAATGTAAATTGGACGGGTTGTTTGTGAAGGGAATCAAAACCAAAATTTGAAAATCAAAAGGGTAAAAAATAAAAAAAAATCTCTTGTGGTAAACCTAACATATAGAAAAGCTCCCCGTTGTTTCAAAGTATACAACATGACACCCTGTACTTCAAACTAAATTGTAAATGTGACGGAATCCATTAAATTTAACGAAATTTGATGAAATGACAAAAATGACATGATATAATTAAGTAAAAGATAGCTTAAAAAAAACATTTGTTTTATCTCTAGATAGAGAGAATTGAGAGTTAAGGGGTAAAACAAGTATATTTGTTAAAAATTAGGTATAATTTTTTTTTTAGATTCCAATAAGTCATTTCCGTTAAGTTTAACAGATTCCGTCACCTTTACAATTTAATTCAAAGTACGGGGGTGTCGTGTTGTATATTTGAAACCATTGAGAGCTTTTCTATGTATTAAACTTACTACAGATGATTTTTTTGTATTTTATCCAAATCAAAATTAGAATGATAATCATGACTATTGCAACCGAAGGTGTCGACAGTTTAGAACCAATTCAAACCATTTTTAAAAAAATACTTGCTATTTAAATTTATTTGATCAATTTAGAATTCAATAAACACTCAACACTAGTAGCCCCAATTTTGGTCCACAACTCATTGTTCCGTTCCATTAGTAAACCTAGATCAAATAATTGATTTAAGTCCAAGACCAATCAAATTTAATTAACAATTAGGTATTTTTCATAAATGTTGTATTAATTTTTTCTCTTCCGCATGATAATATAATTCTTATTTTTTTATATTTATTATCATTTTTTATAATCAATTTTATAACAACAAGTGTTTAAATATAATTTCAAAATCGAAAGTTCGAAAACTATGATGATAATCGTTACTATAATCATGTATAATTTTAGCCGTCTTTTTTTATTATTTTCTCTATGCTAAATAACTTCTTTTCCTTCCTATTCTCACAACTTTATTAGGATTTGTGCTTTGACACAATTATTACTACATATTTTTTCTTTTATTTCCTTTCTAGTTTATGTTTTTCAATTCAAAATACAAAAAGAAGCATAAAAAACACTAGTAGGAGACAAATAGGATAAATGGTCATAATCATCCCTAAACTTTTTTACTAATGTTGATTTAGTCCGTAACTTTTTTTTCAAACCAATTCTTGAACTTAATTTTTTTTTTTATCTAATTAAGACCTTCTTCTGTGGTGACACCACCACCTAAAAGTATTTTGACTCATAATGTAACAATTAAGCAGAGCCATTTTGAGAACATTAAATTATCTCCTCTGTCCACCATTAATCTCTGTGGCCCCCATCTAACGCCTTCTTCTTCTTCTTCTTCTTTGATTTTGAAAGTAGGAGGAGATAGGTAGCGGCAGCGAAGAATGATACAGAGAGGAATCCAAAATATCCCTATTTAATTGTTAAATTAGGAGTCGCTGCAGAGTGTCTTAATTAAATTCGGAAAATAAGTTGACATATCAAATGGTTAAGAATAAAAAATAGGAAACAAATCCACATTGACATTAGTAAAAAGTTTAGGAATGTATTGGCCATTTACCCAAGACAAATAGGACGGCTCCTAACTCTTAGAGCCGACGGCTGAGTTGCTGATGAGTGCTGACACTAACCGGCTAACCTACCAAAAATTGAGGAGATTTGGTAATAAACGTTAGTTCCCGTTTACCTGATAAGTGGTAAATAGCAATAAATGCTGTCGAAGATGATAGTAGTATTACGTTAGGGGGTTGACAGCTTTGACAATGAGTAGAATGGCGAAGGAAAATTGAAGGGGGCAAAGCAGAATTGCAGAGCAGTAGTACTTGCGAAACGAAAGAGAACCACCATTGTCGTTTGCCTCCATTGAGTACAACTGAGTACTGACAAAACCCCCGCAAGCGCCCACACGGCAACGTCAGATTGGTGCAGAAAATCGGATCTTCCCATATCCGCTTCCAGTTTGTTGTTGGTAATTCAACCTGCTCTCGTTTTCTTGATAACTCGTATACGCGTCTGTTCTTGTATCAGCTTATCGAATTGACTAGCTTCTGAAACAAATCGCGTTGACCATCTCTCATTTCATCTTCTTTTTCCCATTGTTTTCGAGGCTGGTAATGATCTCTATAGGTCAAAATAAATCATGCCTGTGATCCTGATTGACGTGTAAAGTTTGTCTCTTTTATGGGTTTTACAGAAGTGTATGATTGCTATGTTGCATTGATTTCGCCCCTGATTTTTTCTGTTGGGTTCAGCAAGTTCTTTCTCATAGTTCACTGCAGTAACTTTCCTTGATTCGGTGTGTAAATTCTGAGTCATATTTAGGATTGCACCCATGTCTACCACTGTACTTGCCGTTTTCCTTGTTATTTAATTGACTGCATTTGGAAGAACTTCGCATTTCTTAGTTACGGGGACCCAGTGTTAAAAAAGGTTCCTTGAGCGATTTTGTACTTTTTGTCTTTTTCTCAAGGTTTTACTGGCATGTTTTCAATTTTTGCTTACTTTTGCCACTTTAAGTCAGCTGCACTGCTTATTTTTCATTGTAGAGACGGTACAAAGTTAACTATGGCAGCCTCTGATGAAACTGGTGCACTGTTTCCGATTTTCATATTGGCCACGATTGCCCTGCCTTTGGTACCTTATACAATACTGAAGTTATTCCGTCCTGCCTCAAAGAAAACAAGGAGCATCCATTGTGATTGTTCAGACTGCTTCCGGTCAGGAAAGTACCGCAAATCAATTTCTAGTCAGGTACGCCAGTCATCAGTTGATTGGTTATGTGCTATTATATGGATATGTTGGTCAGGGATATGGTCACGTTCTGAGTACTGGTAATGCTTTTGATTTTTTTCCCCTGCAGACATCAAACTTCTTGACATGCCATAACTTGATGATAATTATGCTCTGGTTCTTCATGGGAATCCTTGTTTTCTACATCAAGAATATGAGCCGCGAGGTAATTAATGATCAGGTCTCAGTCATGTTGATATGCAAACTCTATTTCCTAAAAAGTTTGTCCTGAATAGTTGTGCAAATACTTTCTATGATAGCTCTATACTTTCTCTACGTGATTGTATCCTGTACCAGAGTGAAATGTCATATCTTTGTTGGTTGTTGCCCTATCTCTCTCAGATTCAAGTTTTTGAGCCATTTGGAATTCTTGGACTAGTGCCCGGAGCTTCTGACTCACAGATTAAGAAGGCTTATCGTAGGCTTTCAATTCAATATCACCCGGATAAAAACCCTGATCCAGGTTGAGGGTGTTCAGTCTATTTACTTTGCGTGTGTTATCTAGTGAATGATGAAGATTTGAGCATTTCTCATCTATAAGCCGTACTTATTGTATATGTCATTTTTATGATTTTTACTTCCAGATGCTCATAAGTATTTTGTTGAGTACATATCCAAGGCTTATCAGGCTCTGACGGATCCTATTTCCCGTGAAAATTTTGAGAAATATGGACATCCAGATGGAAGACAGGTTTGTTGTACTTTATTCCACAAGCTACTGTTCTTGTTCATCTGGTTGCATTCTGAAGGGATCAGAAAATTAGGAATGCCTCTTACAGTTGAAAATGCTATAACTCTTCTGTTTTTGGCACTTTGAATTGTGACACAATGGTCTTGTGCTGTAGGGATTCCAAATTGGGATAGCTCTTCCTCAGTTTCTGCTAAATAACAATGGCGAATCTGGTGGGATTTTGTTGCTTTCAATTGTTGGGGTTGTAATACTATTGCCATTGGTGATGGCTGTTGTATATCTAGCAAGATCATCAAAATATACTGGAAATTATGTCAAACGTGAAACACTAGTCACCTATTTTCAGTCGATGAAACTGTCTCTGTCTTTGAGGTATAATTTTTGCTTTTGAGTGGATAATTTTTGTTTCTAAATAAGATAAATATAAACGAACAATACAGGTATTTGTTCTGTCAATTCATCTTCGTTATTGCTTTTGAGGGGATTTTGTTCCAATCCATTGAATACTTTGCAATCCTTGTTCACTGTCATATAGTGGATTACCTATCTCTAACTATTGTTGCTGGCCCATTTTGACAAGTTGACTTTGCAAAAACTTTTATCTGAATTTTAGTGTTTCAATTTCTGCAAAGGATGTAGTCCCTAAATTTTGAAGAGTGGTACTTGTTAATCTCATTTGCTGAATATTTTCTTCAAACAGTACCATGCATTGCAAAATTTAGCCACCTCTTCGGCATTTTGTGATAATGTTGTTTCTGTTGTTTGGTTTATATACTGTTATTTTTGCACACACGTATGGTCTCTCTGACATCTTACCTTCTATACTGCAAAAATTTTTTAGGAAAGTTGTGGACATCTTCATTGAGGCTGAGGAGTACAAAAGTCTTCCAGTCCGAAGGACTGACGAAGATCCAATTCAGAAACTCTTTACAATAGTAAGAAATGAATTGAGCCTGGATCAAAAGAATGGGAAACAGGAGGAGGCAAAATTTTGGAAGCAGCACCCAGCAGTAATTAAGGTAATGAAAGATGGAAGTGAATGATATAGCCCTTTTACTATGGTCATTTTTCAAATTATGCGCAACTTCTACTTTCTTATTTTGGGCCTTTTTTTCTCTATTTATGGTCTCAGACAGCATTGTTGTTGCAAGCCCATTTAACTCGGGAAAAAACAGTGTTGACCCCAGATTTGCAGTGTGACCTCAACTTTGTGCTGCAATTGGCACCTCGCCTTCTTGAAGAGCTGATGAAGGTAAATTCTCTGCCTCTGCATTCATACAAACATACATGTAAAAAACAAAGACACCTCGCTTCCACATATGTCTATATCTTGATGCTAATTTCAACTGCAAAATGTTTGTAATGAAATCACTGACCCTGCTTTTTTAAAATTTTGGGCAACGAGGCTGGCAAAGGGAAAGACATTGCTTTATAGGTTTAACCCAAAATTTATGCTTTCCTTCTGCTGATAGGTATCTATACTCAAAGTAGATCATCATAATCATTTAAATGAGGTGCCATTCTGCTTATAACATCTTATAGAATGTTTACATACTGTGTGCAGATGGCTCTTATACCTCGAAATGCCATGGGGCATGGGTGGCTAAGACCTGCCACTGGAGTTATTGAGCTTTCACAGTGCATTGTTCAGGTGATGTGTTTAATCAGGTGGTATCAAATTTTGATGTTTTAAACATCAAAGAGCTTGTCAACTCTCTCAAATAGTAAATAGTTCAAGAAGGGAGATGTCTGAATAGTATGTGAACTTGATTTATATACAATGGGATCTGATGCAGGCTGTTCGTCTTAGTGCAAGGAGGGTCTCATCCACCGATGGTATTGCTTCTTTTCTACAACTTCCACACTTCAGCGAAGCCGTTGCAGAAAAATTAGCTCGCAAGGTATGCTGAACCTTTACGTACCGAGTTACTCCATTCCCCAGTTTCATTGGTAACCTGCAGCAATTAGTTTCTTGAGATGCTTCAAGTCATTTTGGCGGTTTCATCTTTGAAAATGAGTTCAAGAGAGAATGCTAAATTTCCCTGGAAACTGAATATCTGAATTTCTTGCTAACTGGGCATGCATGTACTTCTGTGCCAACGAGGGGCACCTAATGATGGTCCTTGCTTGCTTTTGCGCATTATTACAATTATTGGGGTAGTTGGGAATTGTGGTGGTGATCCTTGCTTTTGCTCATATAATCACAATTATTGGGTTAGTTGGGAATTCTGGTGTGCAACTCAACATTTCCTGGATTGGTTGATGTTGTTTGATCCTTGATCTTCATTTAATGGCAGAAGGTAGGATTTCAGGAGCTTCAGGGAATGAGTCTTAAAGAACGTCTTGAGTTGCTTTCTGAGGTAGCTGGCTTCTCTGCTGCTGAAATCCAAGATGTGGAGAAGGTGCTGGGGTTGATGCCTTGTCCAACAGTTGAAGTTACTTGTGAGACCGAGGGTGAGGAGTGTATACAAGAAGGTGACATTGTGACGGTACAGGCTTGGGTGACTTTAAAACGTGCTAATGGTGCTAATGGTTTGATCAAGGCCGTCCCACATGCCCCATCCTATCCATTCCACAAGGAAGAAAATTTCTGGCTTTTGCTTGCAGACGCCAATGCCAAGAATGTGTGGTTTTCACAGAAGGTCAATTTTATGGATGAAGCTGCAGCAGTAATTGCCGCTTCACAAGCAGTTCGGGAGAAAATGGAAGTCCTGGGGGCAGCTGGCGATGAGACTGGTGCCGCAGTGATAGAAGCTGTTGATAGAGTTAGGAGTGGTTCCCGAGTCATCATGGGCAAGTTTCTAGCTCCAGCTGAAGGAAATTACAACTTGACTTGTTATTTGCTTTGTGATTCCTGGATAGGTTGTGATAAGACAACGAGCTTGAAGGTGAAAGTCTCAAAACGGAGCAGAAGTATGACTCGAAGGGGTCAAGTGATGGAGGAAGAACCCATTCCGGAGGATCTCAGTGAAGACGGAGAGGAGATTGAAGAAGAGAAAGGTGAGGATTATGAGAGCGAGTACAGTGAAGATGAAGATGAAAAACCCAACACAAGTAAAAAAAACTTTGTGAAAGGCCCTGCAGTAGGAAAGGGCAGGGAGGATAAAAAGAAGGGGTGGTCCAATAAAGGCCCTGCTCGCAAGAAGGGCAGGTAATACAGACAGATGAGAAAGTGCAAAGTTGGAAGTTCCAATCTCTGAGGTGATACGATGGCATGTGGTCAAAGGGGAGCACCTCCCTAATTTTACAGTATGATGCTAGAACGACGAATTATGTTAGTTGTCAACCTCACAGAAGATATTGAAAATTTTTGCTGGATAGATTTAGTTGCATGTGGGATTTTGCTTTCTCTCCTTTGTCTGCTGCTGCTTTTAGTGTAATTTACCAAATCATCCATGTTGTCTGTTGTCTGTTGATGAGAGCTTCGGTGTAGTTGAGTTTAGCTGAGAGATGGAGAACAACAACAACATTTGATGCATTCTTTAGGACTCGTGTTCGTGCTTGCTCTGAGAAGAGTTTTCTGTTTTTTTTTTGGGTCGGTGGGGGGGGGGGGTGAAGAGTGAAGGAGGAGGGAGCATGCCTATGTTGGCAGAATGGGAGCAGCAACTAATAATAGTAGCGAATGCAATGTCCGATGGTGGATAAATCTGAACTTAAAAAATGAAACTGGCCGCCAACTGAGTGGGTATTCTCCAATGGCTGGCTGGGCATCTATTGTGAATATTCTTCTTATTCGGTCCAGATCTTTTTGCAGATGGGTTCCGAATCTGTCCAGATCATTCATCATCATTTCGCATCCCACCCCGTTTTGACAATTTCATAACAGTTAATCGATGTGTTTATTGATGAATGGTAGATTATTTGAGATAAATTATTTTTTTTAAAAAAATATTGTAATGATTCAACAATCAAATAAATTTTGACAAATATGAAAGGACGCAATTCACTGTCCGAATGCGTCCGTTTGTTGGCGGGGACAGAGACCACAGTGCGACTGCTACTTGGGGTTTATTTTGGGTTAAATTAAATGAGAAAGGGAAAAAAAAATAATAATAATAATAAAGTTCGGGACGTTGCCCAATCATCATCATCTTCATCATCATCATATAACAGAAACAAGAGGGAGGAAAAAAAAGAGAACCACACTCCCGCGGCCCAATCTCTACAGAAAACTATGAAGCATTTCCGCTGCCCCAACCACCATTTTTCTTCTTTCTTTCTTTCTTTTATTCTTGAGTAGCATTTCTGCTCTCTGACTCCAATATTTACGTTACGGCTAGCTGACTGACTGAAATTGACTGCTTTCTAATACCATTGGTTGGTTTGGGCAAATTCCAATTCTTTGACTCTTTTCTTTACCGCCTCGAAAAACATGCTGATGCTCGAACCCCCCGCCGCGGCCGTCCTTCTCTCCCGCCGTAGCTTCGATCCCATCATTCCTCGTCGCCTTCCTCACTCGGCTACCTTTTTCATCTCCCGGTATAATAAGAAAGCAAAGAATTTATTAAATTTATGTACTACCAAGTTTCACGAATCTTTTTCACCCCTTATCTTATCCTTGCACTACCGTGCAAATTTGGGTTTTGCAGGAACAAGTACAGCAAATTGAGGGATCATTCATGCCCGGGAAACTCAAGCAGCTGCGCCTCCAGACGAAATGGGATTCGAGCGTCCGCAAAAGAGCAGCCCAATTGTTCTGGTTCTGGTTCTGGTTCAGGGCCCGTGAAACAGAATGCCAAGCCCCTGAGATATCATCCGTTTGAGGAAATTGCGGAGTCAGAGCTGAATGCAAATGGGGAGGCTAGGCTTACCCCTGCTGAAACCACTAGGACCTTGATTGAGGTACACCCCTTCATCTTTATTCTTTCTAGTGGTGCCGCCGATAGATACATGCATTTTCTTGCGGAGGACTTGCGGAAGTTCTCAGCTGATGTTGCTGGTGAATTTTGTCACAGGTAAACAGCAAAGCCACCCTTATGTTTTCGAGTTTAGTTAATGAACAAGTCCATGAGAATATTTTCTGGCCGGATATGCCTTACGTGACTGATGAGCATGGAAGTAGGATGGTCTATCTCTTCTCTTGTTGTTCTTCAATTCTAGTATGCATAGCTGTTTATCTTTTTCTTTGATAGCCTAGTCGATTCATTGAAACTTTGTTGGCTCGCTCTTGGCTGTTAACCAGATATTTACTTTCAAGTAAAGCATGATGAAGACATTCTGCAAACTCTGTCGAGCGATGACAACCTCGTGGTGTGTAATGTAGATAAGTAGGCCTCTTTCTTCTAGTATACGTGATATGCAATTTAATTTCTGCTCAACTTGTATGTTTTTATTCAGTAGTGATACTTGTGGAGGAGATGGCGTGTATGCTATATCATGATTATTTAAATGGCTATACCTGTGCATCATGCAAGATTAATGTGGAGCTGAAATTATGCCTCAGACGATACTCAAATTTGTTAGATGTATAGAGATCATTTAAGAAAGTGAGAGGATACTGATTGTCTTGCAGAATACAAGCCAAGTTTGTAATCCATCTCGTAAAGTTGACAGTAGCTACTATGCCAGCAACCATACTTTCTTTGTGTCAAAAGAAAATCTAGATGAAGGATGGAACTCCCTGACATTAAAATGCATGGATGACAATGTCCTTTCGTTATTTCCTTGGTGCTTCTAAACTTGAAACCATTCATCTTTCACATGATGCAGCAAGTCATTATTGGGTTAGACACTGCAGAAATGCTCAGTGAGATTGAGTTACTTGGTCAATCAGAAATTGACTTTGGCATTGATGAATTTGACGATGAAGATAGTGATGTTGATGATGAAGATGGCGAAGACGAGGGTGAGGATGACAACGGTTATGAGAAGGTAGCTACTTGTTCTTTCCTTAATCATTGGCCATTTCAAAGTCACCAGTTGCTAGACTGCCTATTACTCTTAGTTTCAATGCTTGTCTGCAGGACTGGGTTGCCATAATTGACAATGATGAAGATCAGGATGAGGATTCTGATGGATCACTTGGAGACTGGGCTAAATTGGAGACCATGCGCTCTTCTCATCCAATGTATTTTGCTAAAAAGTTATCTGAGGTAACTTGTCTCACGAATTAGATTTGAAAAATGAGCTATTTCATTTCCTTCTGATTTGATAAAATGGTAGTTTCAAGTCATCCTGTTCTCATTGCCAGGCTGCATCAGATGATCCCATAGATTTTATGGACCAGCCACCTGCTGGCCTTGCTATTCAAGGCCTTCTAAGACCTGCATTTGTTGAAGAACATGCTGTGATCCAGAAACACATTACTGACAATCAAATTATTGAGGATAATACTGATCAGATTACCAAAATGGAAGGGCATAAAGAAAATGAGATTATTCAAATTAATGGTCACAAACATGAACATGGATCAGCTCAGGAAGGGATCAATAGGGTTGAGGAATTGGAGAGTGATGAAACTCCAGGAAATGGAACTTCGTTTTACAAACTAGAGATGGTGAAAATCCAGCTAATTTCAGCGCATGGAAACCAAGTAAGTTTTTGTTCTTATATTCTTTTTTCTTGACTAAGGATTTGTATGTATTCTGTTTGGTGTTGACACAGTCTAATCTACCTTGGAGCCAATAATCACTGGGCTTGGTTTATTAAACTTGTATCTGGCAACTTGAATGTTGGCCTTAACTCTTGAAAGACATGCACATACATTTCTCAAGACCATGTCAACTGCCTTCAGGATCCTCCTGATTAAGATAAGAAGAATGTGTAATTTTCCATTTGTTTCACAGAATTTTGTTGAAATAGAAGACTTTAGGAGAGCAAGACCTGATGCAATTGCACATTCGGCTGCCAAAATCATCAGTCGTCTGAAAGCTGGTGGAGAAAAGACTACACAAGCTCTTAAATCACTTTGTTGGAGATGCAAGGGTATTCAAGTGGAGGTAACAGATAAAACATCTTCGCTATCTCCACACAACACCCCAACCCAAAAAATAAAATGAAAAAAAGAAAAAAGTATGTGCACAATTAGCAAAAGAGTTGTGGAAGACCAGGATATTTTACAATTAACTGGTGGTTTTCCTGAAAGAAATAAATTACTCGGTTGACCGCTTAAGTTGTCATGAATTCTATGCAACAGAAAAGATGCATGTATCAATTTTCTCACCTCAGCTACCAAACTAACTTAATTGCTTATGGCACGAAGTTGAGATTTATTTGAAGAAGACAAATTATCTCATTGTCATGTTTCTTTTTCTTTGAAATTCTTCTCAGAAGAGTTTTTAATCCAATATGTACAGGAGGTTGCTCTCATTGGTGTAGATAGCATTGGTTTTGACTTGAGAGTTTGCTCTGGAACACAAGTTCAAACACTGCGATTTGCATTTAACAAAAGGGTATAATGTTAATCTTTGGTAAATTACCTTGGATATTTGTTTTTTTTTTCCTCGTATCTTTCAACATAATTTAGCTTGTCCAAACTTGATTGCGCCTTTTGTACAAGTTTATTCTGGCAATTGGGTGTCATGTTACCCACATGTGATTGGCCCTTTTGTATGATGCTCTATGGCAAGAATAAAGAACTGAGATACTACCAGCTTCCATTGCTTGGATAAAAAGAATTAAAAACTATTTAGAATCATAAATTCTTTGTGTCACAGTTGGGCTATTTGGATGCATATAGGATTGTTGTTAATAATTTGTTATGTTTCTGTTAGATCTCCTTAGCATACCATTTTACAGTGTAATCTCATGAAACATGTATGAAAAAGAAAACAGTTAGAATCATTTTTTTAGGTCATTGTCTTTCTTTTACCTTCTATTTCCCGTGCTACCAACGTAGTTTCTTCGCATGCCTTTTTGGAAGTAGCACATTTATGTTCTTGACCATCAAGTTATTCTTGCGCCAAATTGCCATTCAAATGAATACAAAATGCTGGGTGCCTCTTGACAAGATTCTTCCTTTAAAAATATTATAATCTCTCTATTGGAATATCTTGGTATTTGCAGGCCTCCTCTGAATATAGTGCTGAAAGGCAACTCAATCACCTGCTGTTTCCGAGGGCCAACCACAAGCTCCAACAGAAGAAAGAAGCTCACCAGACTGAATTATAAGGATTCAGTTGCATTCTAACTTGTGCCTCTGTTGATCGGAATTGTATATAACACGTAGAAGATTTGCTGCTCAGATTCAGCTTATTTTATTTTGTCGCGTGCTAGTAATAATGGTAACCAGTCCGTTGTTGCTTTGCTTCTAACATGAAGAGTGTACTGCAACTTCTGTTCCTGATTGTATTGTTTAGGCTGATTGTTCTGCTCTGTTCTAGAGAAATCTATGTATGTTAGAAGCTGGAAAAAGTTTTTTTCACATCTAAAAGCAGGACTCAGTGTTGGATGTAGCAAATAGTAGTGAAGATGTATTCCAATTGGAAAACTGAATGGTATCATGTTTTCTGGGCATGAGATCCAACTGGTAAGAAAGGATTTTCTGTACCATGTTACATGAATGAAATCAGGGGGTCCAAATTTTTGCCTTACAAAAAGTTTCCAGTCTAATGAATGCGTGACATCTTAACTGAGAAGAAAGTTACCAAGGGATGAAAGAGAAAAAAGATCCTGAAACGCTCAGCCAATAATGAAGCTGATACTAATAGTTGCAGTTAGAAAACAGCGCCAGAGCCTTAGCCTCTTTGGTATGTGCTAATGTTGAAGAATGCGCCCAATTGCTCGGTAAGCAAGGATACGATTATGTTAATTTGCAGATGAAATGACAATTCTTAACACCAGTTTCTTCATAGTTATTATTGTTGGGTAAGGATACATATTGCTCATTATTTGTCTACGGAAGACTCTCCATTGCAGAATGGTGAAAATCATACATGGAGGGAGGAGTTTTGATTGTTGATGCGAGTCTCATACACCAGCTGTGCACTGAGAAGATCCACAACGGCAGAACCAACTGATTTGAACACTGTAATCTCCTCGGAATCCCTCCTCCCAATTTCCTTCTCTCCGTTGATCAACTCCACCAAGTCCCCCACAATATCATCCCTTGTGATCACCCCCCTCTGGAATGCACCCACCAACTCCCCAGCCTCCACCAGGGCTGCCTCATTATCGATGAACACTCTCCCCCTCCTTATGGCCTCATCATCGCACTCCCTCATAGAATGCTGAAACGATCCCACCAAATCCAAATGGGCTCCAACCTTCAACTCCACTCCTTTCACCAATGGCGTCTCCGAACTCGTGGCACAGCTCACTATATCTCCTAGCCTCACCACCTCCTCCAAGGACGCGTTACTCGCCTCGAGACAGACCCCTTCAAGTCGACCTTCACCGTTCAACTTCTCAACCAAAGTTTTCGCTTTTTCGAAGCTTCTGTTCCATATTATCACTCTCTTAAGACTTGGCCTTACAGTCAAATGAGCTTTGATCAAATGGGGTGCTAAAGAACCAGCACCTATCATCACAAAGGTCTCCGAGTCTTTTCTGGATAAGTATTGTGAAGCTAAAGCAGAAACGCAAGAAGTGCGGTAAACGGTTAGTTCAGTGGCATCGATGGAAGCCAAGGTTTGGCCGGTGAGGGAGTGGAAGAGCACATAACTTGCGTGAACTCCGCGTAAGTTGAGGGTGGAGTTGTTGGGGTGGAAGGTGACAAGCTTGACTCCGATGTAAGGAAGAGCAGGGGAGAGAGACCAGGACGGCATGAGGAGGAGAGAGGAGAAAGGGCTTGTTTGGTGAGCTTGGCGAACTGGGGATTGGATGGTGGCGGAAACGGTGGGGAGGGCGGACTGAAGGTGGGTGATGAGGGATTTGTGGGTGAGAAGGGAATGAAGGGTCTGTGTCGAGATGTAGATCGGCGGCGTGATGGTTGAGGTGAGATCAACTTGATATTGCTTGGCAGCCATGGAAATGGTTGGCGAATTGAGAAGTGGCAGGCGAATTGAGAAGATACTAGGAGGCATAAACGCACTTCGTGCGATGGAAATGTAAAATGCCCTGCCGAGTTTTGTATAGAGCAAAAAGCAAAATATATCAAGTATAGAAATTGTAATTTATGTAGAAAAAATATACCGATTATTAGTAAAATCTAAAATGAATGGATCTTTAAACATGTAGTCTATGGAGTTATGTCTATTCAATAATTTGTTTTGCATATGGAAACTATTTGCAAAAGAAATCACAATAATTAATTATTAGTTAAAAAAGAAAAAAAGGAATTAAAAAAGAAAAAAAAGGACATCAAAGTTATCCAAGAAACACTTCAAACATTCACTATCAAATTTGTTTGTTGCTTCTAGTTAGTGAATACACGAGAATGGGATACCAAACACCTAAAATTCATATTTGAGATAGCATAGTTCATCAGACAATGTAACTAAATATTAGGAATGTCTCGACCAAATGTGCTTAATTGTGCGTGGTTAATTGTTCAGTTGAGCGTTTTCTATGAAATTGAAAGGAGTAGAGCTTTTTCCATGCTATGCTGATTGTGGACTTACCCATATCGAGCGTATGGGCTATCATATTCACTCGGAATCACCGCCAACACCTGCACCTGCACCATCACCAGCAACAGGAGTGGCAACAGAGGAAATGAGAGCACGAGGGGAAGTACTCTCTACTTATTGTACTGTTTAAAATTACATGTACTCATCAAGCCTATGGGTCGAATTAATCAAAACTGTAGTATCTACGTCCGACACAATAGCCATTTCTTTGGTCTCTCTTCTTTCCCAGTAGAAAACCCAGGCAGCCTTTCAACTGACTCATTCTTGTGGAGATTATATACCATCCATATTTGTACAAAGTACTTTGTTTCAGAAAATACTCTATAAAGACAAAAATAATGCTTGTAAACCACATTGTTATACCAAAGAACTTCCAAATTGCTCATCCACAGAAGCTACGACATATCCCGTGCAGAAAACACACTCAAGTCCGGCAACAAAATTGACATTGCACGTAAACAAAAATTGTTGGAAACAAGTACCACATCATCATTTTGTCAACATTACTTTCACTAAACACAAAACTGAATGGCCAGTGGCCCTACTAATATTGCAAAAAATACCAAATCTGCACTAATTTGAAGTCTATGAGGGGAAAAACAGATTTTCAAGTCTTTAATTGTTTAAGCGATAAACAAACGGAGAGAACTCCAACACAGTATGAACTTAGTAACCCCTTTGAGATCATTGACCACATCATATGGAATTGGGGTTACAGTCTCTAAAGTTGCACCTTCTACCACGAAACCAGGTTTGGGGCCTTCAGGTTGCCTCTTGGTACTGATGACCTCACCTCTTGCCTTTGCTGCAGCCTTCAATTCATCATTTCTCCTGATTCTATACTTGATTTCCTCGTTGCATCGAGAAGGCTAAACATGCTCTACGCAAACATGAATCCTCATCCTGATAATCCTGTTACCAACCTGCAGGTAAAATTCGTGGAAGCAAAGATCAGCTTGCTTTCAAGATAATGGGATATAAAGTAACAATGTCATGATGATGTGTACAAAAATTTCACTATTAGAAACCAGGATGTTGATCAATGATGCAGAAGGAAGCAGAAGACAACCTAAACATTCTTGGGTCGCTCCTAATAGGTGTATCATGTATCTCATACATCAATAAAGCAACAGGGAGTTTAGTAAATGAAACTCATGCAGCTCCTTGAACAGTGGCTATTAGTGAAAACAGAAAAAGTAATGGCATGATATGGCATCTTGCAGTCTGCAGGAGCTAATTTTTATAACACACTCAAAATTATGCTACTGATCTCATCAGTTGAAATAGAACATCTATTTCAAGTTGAATTCATTTATTCTTTTTAAGCTTTTTCATATTTGTTCTTTGGGCTGTCTAACAAGTATTATACACAAATCTAATACAGAAGATTAGAATAGAAGATAAGTGCCAATGACTATCTTATGCCTTACTGATTAATAGATTAACACATTGTTCTCAATGGAATGGAATAGGAAAATATTTCATGAAACCCATGCTCACAGTCTCACCAGATAGGAAAAAAGCACAAGTACAATTTGTTTTGTGCGGTAGTCTATCTCTGAGGTTCTGAGTAAGCCAACTAATTGGGTTCAAATTGAACATTAACCTGACGTTTTACATAAGTAATTGTACTTCGAGTCAACATTCTGATAATTAGAATAGATGTTACATGTTAAGTTAATGCATAACACTTAGCAGCTGAAGACAAGGAAATTAATGCAAAAAAAATAGAACACTTGCCCAAAGAGATGTCCACCCAAATTGCACCTCTGAATCATAACCAGTTTTAAATTTTAAGTCCTTGCCAACTGTGTGCTCCAATCATTTGAATCAAAATTAGACCTGTACCTGCACATGTGGAATATCAGAATAAAATAATATATCAACGTGAAAAATCGAAACACATATCAATGGTAACGACAAAAGTTACGCAGATTGCCTCCATCACCTAGTGGCTTCCTTCTCTAGTTAGAAGCACATCCCACCATTTTAAGGTTTACTTATAAGAAGCAAAAAACATTTATTTCTATGTCCTAATCATCATAAATTCATAAGAAACTCAGAAGCAATTCTTTGTGGATTGTAAGCTGATTATACATAGGATAATAGCATTACTTGCATTAAGCATCACAGGCAAAAATAAAATATGCAGGAAAATAAACAAGAAATCAACCCCTGCTTGCTAGAATTTAGTCAAATTTAGAAAATGCAAAAACATTATACCGAAATTTAATCCACTATCAAGTATCACAATAGAATTCCTAAGGCGGCTTTCTAAATCTCTGCTATTCCAAAAGATCCAAGTCATCTCCTCAAGCTTAATACATCACATTACATAATAAACAAGCATATTAATCACCAATGCAGAAATACCCTTACTGCATTCTATAATCACCGAAAAATTTTGGAGAGTCTGCTTTATAAATGCAGGTGAGCATTCGACAACTTTACAAATCAAAAAGTCAAAAGCATATAGGAATTGCAAGAGACACGGACCAAAAAAAATTTTCTTTACAGATCAAGAGGGTAAAACCAGATCTAACCAAAAAAAAAAAAAAAACCACCGCCACCAAGAGAATGAAAATATAAAGTCATTATTTGTCTCATAAGACCTGATGTTCTCTATATTGACAACAAGATAGAAGCAAAATTAGATAAATAAGATTAATGGAATACATAAATTTCCAATTTTTAAGCAAAATTGTAGAAGTACAAAACTTCTTTCTGAGACTTGCAAAACCCAAGCCTGTAGCCCAAAGAACCTACAGCATTTAATTTGCCACAATTGAAGACATACTTAAAGAAACCAAGGTACCATATATTTCCTTTTTTCAGTGCTTAGGCAGACACAAACATACAGAGTTAAAGAAAATCAAGCGCACTTCATAGAAAAGATGGATTCTTTCACATCTTGCTAAGTACTTCAAACGTACACCAGTCCAATGAACAACGTTTGCAAAGCAGCATCTTTAAGGGGTTTTAAGCGGCTTTCAAATAGAGCCATGAAAAATCAGTGTTATAAAATTTAAGACCATAATTACTCAAAGGCCAAAGGAGCAACAATACCACAACTTTTGGGATGGCCTGCACGGGTAGTTTTAGTATGAGACGCCTCTATGACCTGGATCACAGAGGTCCACCGAGGAAGGGAACTATGGATCTCAGACACACGCAGAGGCTCCATGGGTAGCTAGAAAAAAAAAAAGGGAAAACAGGTTCAGAACCTGAGAGAATTCAATTCTATAAGCGCGCTTAAGAGCAGCAGAGGTCGAATGTATAACATGACCAAAAGAAAAGGGAAATACTTTAGAACGAACAAAAGAGGAGCAACGGAAAAAACATGCATAAAGTTGCGCCAATGTAAAGTTCATATAACTGTATTAGAAGCATAAGACAGCATGATGTTATAGCCACATCATCAGGCAATCTCAGAAATACAGCTCATAATCGTCCAATGGCCAACGACATCGCAGTAAGCGAGTTTTTTATTAACTAAAAAAAAACCAATAAAGTATCAGAGAGCATGATAGCTAAAGGGGCAAAAGAAAGGCAGTTCTCCCTCTAATTCATCAATTAAACTGAAATCCAAAAAAGACAAAAACTTTATCGAACAACAACAAAAAAGCATCAAAATTTCTCCGAGTGTAGGGAAAAAAAATATCAAGAGGTAGGGGAAAAAAAGCCAGTTAAGTGTGACAGACCATGATAGCAAAAAAGCAAAAAGAAAAGCACATTTCCCTCCAATGCATCAATTAAACAAAAAATCCTAAAAAGACAAAAGCCCCAACCTTGACCAAGTAGACAGGAACCAAAAGCATCAAAATTTGCTGCAAACGATGACGATGATGATGAAAAAAGAAACAGATTATCTATAGATAGGCAAAAAAGAAAAAACCAATAAAGTATCACAGAGCACGATAGCAAAAAGGTCAAAAGGGAAGCAGATTCCCCTCCAATTCATCGATTTAACCAAAATCCAAAAAGGCAGAAAATGATCAAACAACAACCAAAAACAACAAAATTTCTCTAAGTGAAAAAAAACCTAATTATCTAAAGCTAGGGGAAAAAATTTAAATGCACGAGGTAAAACCACTGTAAAGGAGCAGATCCCTAGGTGTAAGAATTGGAACAGACGGCAACACAAAAAAGAGAAGAACCGGAAAAAAGGACATGCAAGTTTAAAACTAATTTCAGCTAAAAGAGAAAAGCAGTTCTCCAATACGGATAGAAACAAACTAATTTGGTTAATCAAGTTAATCAACCATGAACTATTGAAATATTCGGATTTTTTTAAAATGTAAACATCACGATGTTATAGGCACATTATCAAAGAATCTCAGAAATATAGGCCTTGACCATCCAATGGTTGGCGACATTGCAATAAACGAGGGGCAAAAAAGGGGCAATAAAGTTTCACAGACCATAATAGCAAAAGGGGCCAAAAAAAAAGGGTTCCCTCCAATGCACCAATTCAAAAAATAATCCCAAAAAGGCAGAAACTTTACCAAGCAACAACAAAAATTCAAAATTTGTCTAAATGATGATGAAAAGAAAACCAAATTATGTAGAGACAGGCATCAGCAACAGACCAAGAACAGAGAAGAGGAACAAAAAACAGAAGGGTTTATTTTTTTGGTCAAGGGACAGTTCCCTTTTATTTTCTGGAGCACAAGACAATATAGCAAAAGGTGGGGGACCAGAAGGGGAGGGAAAAAGTGCAACACTCCACAGACAAAAAGCATCACATGACAAAACGCACCAGACACTGGAACAACCCTGGAACAACCAGGAGGGGCAAGATCGTACCTTGGTTCGAGAGAAAAAACAGAAGGCCTGCGTTCGGGATGGGGAAAAAGGTAAAAGACGGCAACTCCTTGGCCTGTAAGGAAACAGTTCCAAGAATCACTGAAAGAGTAAGATAAGAAGATGGCTCGCATCAGTGGTGAACATAAGCTATATAGCAGACATTGGCAGTTCATTTGCCGAAACCACTCAGACACGAGGCAATAGGACGATTCAAAATGCTCACAAATGCACACGTAGCTAGAACCAGTAAGAGAACAGAACCCAAGTCTCCCAAATACACGAGCCGGAGCATACCTTGCAAGAAAATATTCTCAAATCAAGCAACACAAGATAACATAACATAACATAACATAAGATAAAATAAGGAAAAAATGAGGAAAAAAAAACACACAACCACATAACTGGCTTTACTAAAGTTTGCAACTTTCCGGGAGCCGGAGCATACCTTGCAAGAAAATATTCTCAAATCAAGCAACACAAGATAAGATAACATAACATAACATAAGATAAAATAAGGAAAAAATGAGGAAAAAAAAAACACAACCACATAACTGGCTTTACTAAAGTTTGCAACTTTCCGGCGAGCAAAATAGTAAATCTAGAGGACCTAAAGGATCCAAAAACTAAAGAAGACAAAAAAAAAATTCAAAGAAAAAAAAAAGAAAACTCGCACAGAAAACCGCAACTAATCGTAAAGGAAGATCAAGAAGACTTACAACGGAGGAGGAGGAAGAGAAGCGAACGGGCGGCAGCTGATCTCGACCACTGAAACCTAGAATTGGCCGATGTCTGGCTATACGGGCCTTGTGCGGCTGCAAGAAGGGGAGAAAAACCAAAAAAAGAAAAAGGAAAAAACATGAGTCTCAAGCTCAGGACCAAGTAGAAAGCTCACGGCAAAGGGTGGGAAATGAACGGCCAATGTCTGGCCACACGGGCCTTGTGCGGCTGCGAGAAGGGGGGAAAAAAAACTCAAGCTCAGGATCAGGTAGAAAGTTCACGGCAAAGGCTGCATCTCACCGAAACGGAAAAGGAAACGGGAAAAGGGAAAAAAGGAAAAGGAAAAGGAAAAGGAAGAAAGCTCACCACGGAAGAAGAGAAGAGAAGAGCAAACCCCAAAGCCACAGTTTAAGCAACGAATGAAGAGAACCGGATATCTGAGCAGGGCAGTGAAGCAGGCTTAGAAGCAGCATTGTCCAAAAGAAGGAGAGAGAGAGAGACGGTAGCGGTAAGAAGAGCCATGTGATAGTCCCGGACAGAGAAACAAGTTTACCAGATAGGCAGCGCGGCAGACAACGCAGCAGGAGGCACATGGGATACCGTCAGAGGAGAAGAGGCGCGCAGTGCGCGAAGAACACAATGTTTTCAATCCACATGCGCGGCACGTGAGAGGACGACGAAACTCTGGCTGAAGGGCGTTCGCACTTTATCTACTTATGTTGATGGCCACACGGGCCTTGTGCGGCTGCGAGAAGGGGGGAAAAAAAACTCAAGCTCAGGATCAGGTAGAAAGTTCACGGCAAAGCTGCATCTCACCGAAACGGAAAAGGAAACGGGAAAAGGGAAAAAAGGAAAAGGAAAAGGAAAAGGAAAAGGAAGAAAGCTCACCACGGAAGAAGAGAAGAGAAGAGCAAACCCCAAAGCCACAGTTTAAGCAACGAATGAAGAGAACCGGATATCTGAGCAGGGCAGTGAAGCAGGCTTAGAAGCAGCATTGTCCAAAAGAAGGAGAGAGAGAGAGACGGTAGCGGTAAGAAGAGCCATGTGATAGTCCCGGACAGAGAAACAAATTTACCAGATAGGCAGCGCGGCAGACAACGCAGCAGGAGGCACATGGGATACCGTCAGAGGAGAAGAGGCGCGCAGTGCGCGAAGAACACAATGTTTTCAATCCACATGCGCGGCACGTGAGAGGACGACGAAACTCTGGCTGAAGGGCGTTCGCACTTTATCTACTTATGTTGTTGATAAGAGGTTAGTGATGAGAAAAAAAGATGGACTTGACCGTTGACCTTGACATTGTCAATCTTCTTTCTGGTTTTCTTTTCTTCTCTATTTGTAATTGGCCCATATTCTTAAAAAAATATAGAACAGTTCTCCTCTCTCTCTCTCTCTCTCTCTCTCTCTCTTTCTCTCTCTCTCTCTCATCAACCTGTAAGCTCTAAATTAATAAAAGTATTTAATCCTATAACTTTAAAAAACTACCGGCGCAAAATAGAAAATCAAAGAATAATAGATAATTAAAATATAGAATATTTCAAACATTTGTTTTCCGTTTTCTCTACTTCTTAAAAACTATTAATTCATTTTCTATTAAGGATAACATACTGCTTCACAACTAAACATGTAAACTCTAAAAAATTAAAAATAAAAAAGTAGATTGTTGAAGTAGACAGAATTTATGAGATACAAAAAAGAAATTTTGAAGAAAGACAAAAAAAAATTAGAGTAGTAGAATAAATGAAATTAGTTACAACAAATGTAGGAAACAAAAAAAATAAATGAAAGATACGATTAAATATAAAAATTTAATAAGTCGTGAAAAATAAAATATATAATGGCATGGGAATTGTAAATTAAATTATTAGCAAATCACTAAATAATTATGGTCGAGATTTGGTACCAGTTATATGCAGTTAGGTTCGAGTAACGGTGGCTTTTAAAAATTGAAAATCATACCCTAACCTAATTTTTGAAGTAGTTTAAGGTAATCTAACTATTTTTCAATTTGAACAAAATTCAGTTTTCTTGGTTACCTACTTCGGTTTTTTTTTTTTTTTTGTTTGTTTTAACACTCCTACTAGGCAGAAGATTTATGAGATCGTTCTTTTTACATTTCAAGATTAAAGACCAAGAGGCCACTAGCGTTAAATTAGTCATCAAGAAAGGACTCTTTAAACTTTTCCTATTGCCCGGTAAACCAAGAGGCAGTTGCCAGAAAAAGGACATGAAGAATCCGCAGTGATTTTTTTTTCCCCCAAGCTTCTTCTTCGAACTTTTATAGCACTAAGCCAGGCATTCGTGGTAACCCAATTGGTACGACGTCGTAGGCCGTAACACCATAGCCACTTTACCCGGAATGAGTATCAAGGGCTTTATTGAAACAGGGCAAAGACGATACATGTGACAAAAACTGCGGTGGCAAATAATACACTGGGTGGGTTATAAGCCTCTTGAGCTTACTAAAATTATTAATATCATTCAGATTTCTACCTCATATATACAAGTTTTCACTGATTGGAACATGCAAAAAGAAATGCTTGAGCATCCATCCCTGTCCCGTTGGGATCATGTTGATGAGCCATCATGTAATAAGGGTTGAATCATGAAGCTATTGATATCCTGTTAACAAGATCGCATACACTGTGGATGGAAACCACGTTAATTTAGTCAGACACTCCCTTGAATCAATCATCTGTCTTTCTGCTTTGGCTTTCGTCTTTCTTTCAGGAGATGGTCAAACTTGGCCCGAGGCAATATGAACTGAACACTTTTGCAATGGTAGTCATGCTTGGCTAGAGTACTTCGATTCTGTCTGGGATGCTGTCCTTTCAACAGCCCTCCACCAGTCATCATCTTCTTCCCACTTTTCGGCCTGCTAATTTAACAAGCGAAAATAATGATCCCAGTCAGTCCGGTAAGAGATAAATGACAAGGCGCTGTGATATTCTCACTTTTAGAAGGAAAGTCTCCTGTCCTAGGCGTGCATGCAACTCAGTCCCAACCATAGGCATTCTTTAAATGTTGATACCCTTCATGAATACATGTCTCTAGGCTCCTTATAAATGCTCTCAAAAGCATTTGTTTTGTGACCCTCAATTCAGAAGTTCAGCATCACAAATGCTGGCAAAGTTCTTACTCATTTGATTAGTCCACACTAAATATATTTGGCATTATGACTTTCTTAAATGAGATAAATCACAGCTAACAGATCTTAAACTAGAAGAGAAAAGGGGAATGACCGACTCTCATGCAACATAGTAACAGCATTCAAGAAATAAAAGATGCGAGAAACACATGAATTCTGCAGGAGGCAAATAAGAAGCACCACTGGGAAAGCTGAAAGTCCTAACCATGCCAGTTAGATCCAGTGTTCTCTGTATGCTTTCAACCTGGTCTGCAAGTCTTATGGCTTCAGTCCACCACTCTTTCTTGCAGCTATCCATTAGACTTTGATCAGTTGTTGATGCTGTATCTACTGGAACCTCAGTTTGTCCTGACAGGTGGAGGAAAACTGCAGGATCCGGAATAACACCATTTGGAACTGGACGTAGAGGAGATCGATATCCTGTAAACTAATTTAACTCAGAAAATTTTGTCCTTTCATGTCCAATAGTTAATAGATTGTTACAGTTACCTCTGCAATCAGGATCATGACACTTCTGATAATAATTGCCCCTTCTAATATCAACAACGTACATTACTGAACACAAGTTGGAGAAGATCGTATTAAGAACTTCATAATGCATATACAGTCTCATTTTACTTTCAACTCTCACAAAGAAAAGGACCATGGAAGAAAGCCAGACAGGATAGACTATCTTGACCAGGAGTGGGTTTAGAGAGGCTTCCCACCAACTAATAAGGCTAAATCGATACTATGTTGCGGCTACTATTGCCAGATTTCTTCCAAGGGTCATAATTCCAGCTCAACAGAACAGAATTAGGAAAGAATGATGGAGAAAGAAAAAACGTTACCATGGTTGCTTTTATGTTGTCTGCCAATCCGTTCACAATATCTATTTCTTGACATGCTATATATCATCAATCCATATTCTGAAAACCAGTACCAACTCCGAATCTTCCCTAGGAACAGGAAACAACAAGAACGGAAACTTAACAAATATATGAAGAGTATAGCAATCCAGAGAACCATGATACGAACACAATCGAATGAGTTCCCAAATGTACATATCTGCTTATGGACGCACACCCGCACATGTAAACATACACGCACAGAGGATAGTGCACAATCACATTGTCAAGGAGCGCTGACTTGTGTGAAGTTGGAGATAAAAAACAAGATGATTCCAAGACCAAAGAGGACAAGAAAGGAGAAAAGTCAATACCCAATTTGCTGGTTCATTTTTTCAACTTATAAAATACAGATTACAAAAAATAAAAGCATATTTTCAATAAATAAATAAAGATCTCATCAAATGTCCTGGCATTCAACACAATACTTCAAGCAGTGCTGTTTCAGCCAAACTACAGTTTTCTTTGAATTACCGACTAGAAAATACTTGGTCGTTCATATATTGTAGAACATTTTGAAATTTAGACTGAAAGAGTTCATTCGCATTGGGGTGGAAGCATGATATTGAAAAATTAACTAAACACAGTATTACCTGATATATTTCCAATGGAGGCAACATCTTCAATGAAAACATCCAAAGATGGGAATGGTGATTTCCCCATCATATAGGTTCTTGAAGCATCAATTGTGCAAGCATTCCAATCAAACTCTTGAGCTAAAGTAGAATGCTTATCAAACTTATTGGCAGTCTGCAATAAAAGGAATCTATATCACTGATTTACACAATAGTAAGCCTCCAAATCATGACAGCCATCATTAACATGGAAAGAATCTGGAAATTATAATTCTGCAAACGATCATTAGAAATATAACTGACTGAGGCATACACATAAATCACTAAACACAAACCAAAGACTACAAGATCAAGTTCCCCCAAATAGAGTAGTTCAACATTACCTCTGAATCAAAGCACAGAGACTTCACACAATCTGTGTCCATCTTGCAAATCAAAAGCTTCTCACAATCATCATCCATGCTGCAAATCAAGGATGCCATAAACACTTCTTCTTCACTCTGCCATAGAATGAAAGGTCACATTACACGTAGTTTTGACATGCTCACAGATCTTTCTTGCAATACTGGATGAGAAAAATACTGTTAATATAAATTTGTGTATTTTCAGAATCAATTATAAAAATGTCATGGCCTGAAGTCCTGCCACTAACATTATATCTCTTATGAATCCCAAATGGTCAGTTACAAATTTCAGTAGCCTGTTATGGAGTTAATACTAATAGACTATAGATCAAAGATGGTTACTGAACATTTGCATAAATCCATTCTATACCACTTGGGAATTGTCGAGTGCAAGATACAGTAGCACTGGCACATGCATTTGAGGCATCTGCTATTTTCCAGCATTAAGAGAAGAATAATATGCAGAACTGAACAAAGATATAAACCATTTGATTTTATCCGTTAAACCAAAAAATACATAACAAGAGGGGAAGCATACATTGAATCATCCATGATCTACTAAATCACAAAAGTGTGGTCACAAAGCTGTTCTGCCTTCATAGTAAATCATCTAGAGACACTTACACAAGATGAAAACATATCCAAATTCAATAATTCAATAAACAATTTAAGATAAATATTTAAACCAAAAGAAAGATCTGAGTTGCTCTTCCAAGCATCCAAGCAAAGGACATAACAAATTATCTGCAATTTCATATAAAGAAGTTCCATACCATGTCCTTACATTTAAACCGCCCACTAGGTAGAAGCACAGAACTCTTGCCGGCTTTAGATGATAGAGGTAGGCGAAAGCAGCGGTTTCTTGAATACACAGCATTATCCACAAAAAGCTGGCACTGACAATTGGTTTCACTTGAATCTTTTGACACAAACAGATTCTTAAATCTTTCTTCTGTCTCCCTTGATTTATGAATATGTGAACAGACCTAATTCATGGAAATCTAAAAGAAGTTACAACGAGAGTTTTTATTTTTTTTAGCAGGGAAGGGGAAGGAAGAGTCCATGGGAGAGAATGCAATTGAACTTGACAAATGAAGCACCATAGAATAAATGTCCCAATAGAAAAGTAATATGACACAAAGATGAAATATGAGCTGCAGAAATTGCATGACATACCCACTCGAGCACCATATCTGATTAAAAATTTTAAACATATAATAACAATACATTAATGTGAACCAAG